ACGCTTAGCGGCCAGCTGCTCACCAAGAGCCGGCATCAGGTCAGTCTCGTGGAGAACGAGACAGATTTTTGGCAATTTGTCAACAAATATGAGTCGATGCTGCGCCAACTGGGCCAGCCGGTGCTGCCGACGCTGCTCAGCGAATCGGAGCATCTGGAGCCGGTGCCGTATCACAAAAGCAAGCAGCTGGCGCTGCAGCTGGACGAACAGGCGCTGCTGCGCAACGACACGAGAGCCGACAATGTGGAGCTGCAAGCGCAATTCCAACAGCTCGTTCTCATCTATCTGGACTTTAAGCAAAAGGAGAAATTCAATCGCATCAAAAAATTGCGAGAAGCCCAACGTGCGCTGCCGATTGCACGATTCAAGGAGGATTTGCGCAGCTCTCTCCAGTCGACACGTGTGCTCATCGTGGCCGGCGACACCGGCTGCGGCAAGTCCACGCAGGTGCCGCAATATCTGTACGAGTTCGGCTATCGCAGCATAGGCAAGTCCAGCCACAGCCTCTCATAGCATTTCATTTAATCGTGTAATCCTTGCCTCCGCAGCCTGCACGCAGCCGCGTCGCTTGGCCTGCGTGTCGCTATCGAAGCGCGTGGCCCACGAGCTGCTCGATGATTACGGCAACAAGGTGGGATTTCAGATACGCTTCGAGCGCAACAGGACACAGAATACGCACATATTGTTCATCACGGAGGGCTTGCTGCTGCGCCAGCTGGCCGTCGCCGCCAATTTGGAGCAGTACGACGTGCTCATACTGGACGAGATACATGAACGCAATCTATTTGGCGACTTTCTGTTGGGCGTCACCAAGTGTCTGCTGCGCGCCAAGCCGGACCTGAAGCTGATACTCATGTCGGCCACCATCAATGTGGAGCTCTTCCATGGCTATTTCAAGGATGAGGGCGCACGTTTGCTTCAGGTGCCCGGACGTTTGTTTCCCATCAAGCTGCGATATATGCCGCCGCCGGCGCTGGAGCTGAAGGCGGGCCAAGCGGGGGCCGCCACGGCGGGCAGCAGCAAACGTTCGCAGAGCGCACGCCTCGATCCGGCGCCCTTTATCCAGGTGCTCAGCCTCATCGATCAGCAGTATCCCAGTGCGTAGACCACCAACAGAAACACACAATGAATCACAAATCTCTTGAATATATCTCAAATCTCTTGCAGTTACGGAGCGCGGCGATGTGCTGATCTTTGTCAGCGGCGTCAATGAGATCGACAGCATTTGCGAGGCCATCCGAGAATATGCCAAGGAGCAGACACAGTGGCTGGTCCTGCCGCTGCACAGCGGCCTGGCGCTGGCCGAGCAGGACAAGGTATTCGATTATGCGCCCGATGGCATGCGCAAGTGCATCGTGTCCACCAATATAGCGGAAACATCGCTGACTGTCGACGGCGTACGCTTTGTCATCGATTCCGGCAAGGTCAAGGAGATGAGCTACGATGCCAGCTGCAAGGGACAGCGTCTCAAGGAGTTCTGGGTATCCAAATCATCCGCCGAGCAGCGCAAAGGACGTGCCGGCCGCACGGGCCCCGGGGTGCGTCCATAATTCAGAATTCACAATCGATTCACATTTCATACAGCATATCCTTGCAGGTGTGCTTCAGGCTGTTCACACAGCAACAGTTCGATGCCTTCGAGCCGTATCCGATGCCGGAGATCTATCGTGTGCCCCTTGACACGATGCTGCTGCAGATGGTCTCAATGGGCCTGCCCGATGTGCGCGCCTTTCCCTTCATCGAACCGCCCGAAACGGAACGCATCGAGCAGACAATTCTGGCCCTCAAGCAGCACGTAAGTCGAACCACGAGTCGAGTTGCCTGTTAATCAGGACTCAATTAAGTTCGTCTCGTTGCAGTGCGCACTCAGCGTGGATGAGAAGATAACGCCGCTGGGCAGCTCGCTGGCCAATTTGCCCGTGGAGCTGCCCATTGGCAAGATGCTGCTGATGGGCTGTGTCTTTCCGGAGGTCGAGCAGCTGCTCACTTTGGCCGCCATGCTCAGCGTACAGAATCCATTGACGACGCGCGCCCACACGGATCAACGCTGCGAACGTGAACGCCAGCCGCTCGAATCCGAGCAGGGTGATCTATTTACCCTGCTGCGCGCCTATCGCGAGTGGCTGCAGCTGAAGATGGGGCGCGAGAATACAAGGAAATGGTGCCAACGTCTGGGCATCGAGGAGCAACGCTTCTACGAGGTCTGCAAGCTGCGCCAGCAATTCCAGCGCATACTCGAGAGCTGCCGCATGGCGCCGCCCAGTGCTGCCGCCGCCGGCGGCCTCAATCGTAGCGAGCGTGCCCGGCGCCACGGTGAGCTGCGTCAGCTGAAGGCGCTCAAGCGACGCCAGCGCTTGGAGCAGCCGCGCCAGCGCAAGCTGCTCAAGCGCCAGCATGGATCCGCTGCGGATGCGCAGCAGGAGGAGGACGAGGAGGATGCACCGTACCACGAGGATATGCGCGACATTGACTTTCGGCTGCGACACGATGGACGCCAACTGGCGCTGCTCGCTCGCTCCGCTCAGCTGGAGCGGCACCGTGATGTGCTCCTGCTCAAGCTGTTGCTTGTGAGCGGCTTCTATCCGCAGCTGGCCATTGCCGATGAGTTCAACTATTGCAAGGGCGGCGGCCAGCAGTTCTTCCACACGCAGCTCAAGCCCTTTCTATCGCTCCATCCCAATGCGCACTTCGCCAAAAGCTACGAGCTGCTCAAGCTCAGCGACAGCGAACTCCACCCCAAGCCGGACTACTATACGCCCAAGCAGCCGCTTAGCGAGCGCCATCAGGTGCTCTGTTATCAGTGAGCACTCCACAATTGCATTCAACTAAAGCCCTGCATCGAGTCGACTGCATCCCATTTCGGATACTCTAACAATTATTTCGTCTGACTCAAATTTGTTCGCCTCGAGCTGTTCGATTTGCAGATAAAACATGCTTGTTCGACCGATAGCTCCAACATCTTGCTGACTCATACAAGTCGAGCTCGAACATGTTGCGGACTCGTTCAGGTTGAGCTCAAACATGTTGCGGACTCGTTCAGGTAGAGCCCGAACATGTTGCGGACTCGTTCAGGTCGAGCTCCAACATGTTGCGGACTCGAGCGGGTCGAACTTTGTTTGTATGATTCCCTTCGGGTCTGATCAAACGTGCTCGAGAGCGATTGTCGATTAGATCGAATGAGTATCCGAGTTGGATGCAAATGAATTAGCCGATGCAGGGCTCTAGATTGAATGCACCATCTAATGGCCAAGTGGTTGATTTTTGCAGATCCCTGCTGGAGACGGCCAAGCCATATTTGATGAACTGCATTAGGCTGCCGGCGGCGCAGACGCTGCTGCTGTTTGGCTATGCCATCGATACCAATTGGGGCATCTCGCGCATCGTTTGCGACGGCTGGCTGGGCTTGGACTTTCCACAGCCGGGCAGCGGACTGCTGCTGCTCAGTCGCGCCATTCAGCTCCGCCGACGCTGGAGCAGCCGGCTCTATGACAAGCTAAATGGTGTGTATGCCCTCAGGCTCACCCAGCCACGGGATTTGCTTAACATCCATCCTTTTAACTCATCCCGCAGAGCTCAACAGCAACGAGCAGGCGTCCTGTGCGCCGCCAAAGGCCGCTGGCTATGATCACGGCGACACGCTCTGGTCTGATCTTCTGGACTTCATGGGTCTGGATGTGGTCTATAGCATTAAGCGATTGCTGCCCGCCGATCAAAAGACGCTGTATACCCGCTGCCCGCCGCCGGCGCGTATGTCGCTGCTGCCAGCGAATCCCTTTGTCCAGGACTATCCGCTTGGCGTGAACAGCGAGAAGGGCGGGCTCAATATATCCGAGCATGTCGTCTATGGCTGCCTGGCGGAGCTGCCCTGGACGCTGGCCATGGAGACGGCGCTACAGGCGCAGCCCTGGCGCTGCGCCCAATGCGATTTCCAGCTGGAGCAGTTCGATGTGCCCGATCAGCTGTTGCATCGCCTGCAGTGCAAGGCACAGTCCGATGGCCAGCGACGACAACGACGACGCACACGCTCACCCGATCCGAAGGCAATTGTTCCAGCGAGCAGCAGCAGCAGCAGAAGCAGCAGCAGTGGCAGTGGCAGCGATTATCACTGCGAGTCCTGTGGCCGCCATCTGAAGCTCTCCCAGATCGATATACTGCGTCATCGACGTACCTGTTTACGGCACAAGGAGCTTCCACCCAGAAGCAATTGAAACCACAATTCGGTTGTTAGCAATAAGCAATAGGCATGCCTAATATAATAGGCCAGCAGTGTGCGACTCAGCTAAGTCGAGACACAAACCCGCACTGCAACTATGTAAATTACAGTGCAAGCTCACAAATGTAGCACGCCTCGCTTCCAGATTTGTTTCATTTGTTTCATAACAATTTTAATATGGCCTATTTAAATGTGCAGCACAAAGCAACTTTTAAAATGTGACTAGGAATTATTTAATTAATTAATTAATTAATCATTATTTAGACAATTATCGCTCTCCATCGCTTTGTCTTCTTTGGAAAAACTTCGGTGCTTAGAGTCCGATCTTTATCAACTTCGTTGCTTAGAGTCCGATCTTTTTGAAATGTTCGGCATAGAAGTGTATGAACTTTTTGCTGTCATAAATAATTTGTTTTGGGGCGAAAATGGGGAAATGTATACAAATGTGAAATATTCTCAATTTGTGTGTAGAATTGAAATACAAGTTTGGCGTATGAAAAATGCAATGAAAAATTAATTAATAAATGCAATTTTATTTCCAGACATATTCTCACATTTTTGCTTCTTGATACTTTTGGTTCGATTTCTATTAAATGTATGTTCTGCGAGCTTTTCTTTAAGCAAGATCACTTTATCTCTCTTTCTCTCTCTCTGTCTCTCTCTCTCTCGCGCTCGCTCGCTCGATCTCTCTCCGTTTCATGAGAGAGTTTTCCATTATTATTAACATAGATATTGTTCACGTGCTTGTCTTGTTAAGAAAATATTTATAAATATTAAAAGTCGGTAATTGTTGTTGTTTTTCTTGAAGAAACATCACGATATCTAACTGTCTCTCTCTTTTCTAGCTTCATCGCTTTTTGGGGATTTTCTTCTACGATTTTTATTGTTTTCATAACAAACTTGGTTTTCATGGATAAGTTGCGTTAAACATTTGTTTCGCTTCACAATTGTATTCTTTATGTGTGTGTGCTTTATGCTTAAGAGTCTACAAAATTAATGCTTTATACACAAGTAGTATATAAATAAGCCTAGCATATATATACATGTATATATATATATATATATATAGATATATAGATGTATATAGATGTATATATATACTAGTATACAGTTAGCGCTCTATATAGTACTTATGTCTATTTATATCTACGCCTAGAGCAGTCTAGCAATCGGTTGTAGATGCCAGATACGAAATGAAAGTAATATCGAGGGGGAAAAACAATAATCAAAAAACAAAAAAGAAATGCCTAAAAGCAATTTCAGAGTTTCCCTTAAGACGCGGGCGAATCAATGAGCGAATGGAATGAATAGAATCTTAAAAAACCAAAAGGCAAATAAAATAAACCAAACGAAACGAAATTAAAAATGTTCTATCGTAGATTCTTCATTTAGTCTTTCTAGTTTCCACAGCTGTCTCGTCATTTAGGGCATGATGTACTCCAAGTCGAATTTGGCGCCGATGCGCGGCACTCGCGGCTTCCTGGTCACCTTTGGCTGTGTGTGCGAGAGAGAGAGAGAGAGTTAAGAAGATTTGGTTAATTGGTTGGGCTGATCATAGGAATTGGATTCATCAGACTTACCTTAATAACAGCCGCTTCCTCCGTTTTGACAGCGGCAACGCTTGTGCTGGCCTCTGAGTCCGGCGGCTAGAAGAGAGAGAGCGAGAGAGAGGGAGAGAGAGAGAGTGTGTGAGAATAATGTTGAAATTCATTTCACCTTTTTCACACATTTCCAATTAACGAGGCGTGGATCTCTTTACATAGAGACAAAGAAAGAGAAAGAGAGAGAATTTTCTTCAAATTCACTTTCACTTTTTCCACCTTTTTCCCATTTAAGAAACATGAGTTTTCAACAATCGGTTTCAAATCGATCGGATGAACAGTAAAGAGAAAGTTTTCCACACATTTTGCGAGCTAAAGGTGAATAAAATCGATCAAATTCATTTCCGTATGCGACTTTAAGTTACGTCTTCTTCCACGTAAGAGGGCGTGGTTTTCACGAAATATGTGAATGAGTGTGGATTTCCACCCTTGTGAGTGGATTAATTGCTATGTTTTCGTACATAATAAAAGGTAGCTACTGTACAGGGATTTAGCTGCCCAGTTCTAGAGGTTGCGGCCCAATTTTGATCATCAATCAGTCAGTCAGTCAGTCAGTCAATCAGCACGATGTGGAATATCTATATATATGGATTGAGCTATTTACCGTTATCTTGAGCGTTCTCATTAGCTCAGAGCTAGCCTCATCCTCTGCGTTTTGTGCCGTTGCTGAGCCGCTCGCCTCCTGGAGCTGGACCTCGTTGGCAACGCCGCCGTTGCCCGTTTCCAATTTTTCCTGATATAGAAGAGAATAGAAAATTATTGAAGACATTTAAGCATTCCATGGCTGTGCCCAATATGATTGATTGAGTGGAGATTGAGACATCTTTAACCAGATTTTTCATAGATCCGGATAAGACGACTGATTGGATTGACGAAAATCATGATTCGATGTTTTTCAATCAGTATGTCAGTAAGAGTGTCTGTCAATCGGTCATTTAGTCAGTTAATTCATGAGCTCATGAGTATGCTGATTGATGATGATGATAGTCAATCATCAGTCAGTTAGCTAGTTAATCATTTAGTCAGTTAGTTCCTCAATCAATCTGTCAGCAAATCAGTCAATCATTTAGTCAATCAATTAGTCAAACAGTTAATTAATTGACACAAACTTGTCAATCAGTCAGTTAGCTAGTCAATCAGTCAGCCAAGTAATCAACTATTTAGACAGTCAATCATTTAGTCAGTTAGCTAGTTAATTATTTAGTCAATTATATCGTCAATCAATCAGTCAGTTAATAAGTCAGTCATTGAGTCAATCAATTAGTTAGTCAGTGTATTAATTGATTGACGCAAACTTGTCAATCAGTCAGCTAGCTGGTCAATCAGTCAGCCAACTAGTCAATCATTTAGTCAGTTACTTAGTCAAGCATTCAGTTGGTTATTTCAATCCGTTATATAGTCAATCCGTTAGTTAATGAGTGTGTTGATTGATTGGCGCATATCAGTCAGTCGGTCATTTAGTCAATCATTCAGTGAGTTGGCTAGTCAGTTATTTCGTCAATCATTAAGTCAGTTAATATGTCAGTCAATTAGTCAATCCTTTAGTTAATGAGTGTGTTGATTGATTGACGCATACCAGCGAGTCAGTCGGTCAGCCAGTCAATCAATCAATCTATCAGTTCGTCAATCAGCCTGTCAGGGAATCAGTTAGTCAATCAGGCTAATCAGTGAGTTGACTGAGTTGAGCAGTCAATCAGTCAGTTGGTCAATCAGTCAAAATAAATACACATACATATATCTAGCTATATGCCTGTTGATAAATTTTACCATTTGCTGCTCGGCGGGCCCAAAGGGCTGGGCGTTACGCTGTGACTTCTTGGGACGATATGCCTGTATGGGCACAAAGTCCTGGATCGATGTGTACGAGCGACGCGGATTGGCATTGCCGTAAAAGTTGTTGCTGTTGCTGCTGCTGCTGCTATTGTTGTTGTTGTTGCCGATGTTGTTGCCGATGTTGTTGCTGTTGTAATTGTTGTTGTTATTGATGGGATAATAGTTGCTCGAGCTGCTGCTGCTGCTGCTGTTGTAGCGCTGATAGCTACTGTTGTAGCCGCTGTTGAGCCCCGACGGCGGCGGCGGCGCTGGCATAAACCCAGCAGCCTGAGGCAACTGAGGCAAAGCTGTCGATGCAAGTTGTAGTTGTTGTTGCTGTTGTTGTTGTTGTGGACGTTGCAGCAACTGTCTCATAAGGATTTCAGCTGTTGTACCCTGGTGTGCTGCTGCTGCTGCCGGCGCCTCTGCCAACTCGTCGAGGCTTGGCCTGCTGCTCAGCAGCAGCGGCGGCCTCTGGTCCCATTGCTGCTTGGAGGAGATCAGCTCCGATTGCAGCTTCGCCTGCTGCTGCTGTGCCTCGCGCTGCCAGAACAGCGGCGGCTGCGGCAATTTCTGCAAAATACCAAAAGAAGGAGACGAAATTAGCAAACGAAGCACGTAACAACGGACTTGTCCGATCGATTCTATCTATATGTACATTGGCTATATAATATAGTTGCGAGATCTAGCTAAGATTTGGCTCATGTGTACGGAGCATGGTTTAGAAAGTTTGGCCAAGATATCTTGATAGACAAAAAAGGTGTTCATACAAAAGACAATCGATCTATTGCTATGGCAACTATATAATATGGTGCTTCGATCCGGCGTATTCCAATAGATTACTTTAAGACTTGCAGACAGCTCCTTGATATATATATATAGAGAGAGAGAGAGAGAGACAGTTCCTTATTATGCCCTGAATCCCATTAAAAGTATTTGTGAGAATGTATGTAACAGGCAGACGGAAGCATTTTGGACCCCATAAAGTATATATATATTCCTGATCAGCCGAGTCGATCTAGCCATGTCCGTCCGTCTGTCCGTATCTATGAACGCCAGGAGCTCAGTAGCTAAAAGAGCTAGAGACTCCTCCTGTTCTTATGTTAAATGAATGAAGAAGAGTTTGCTGGCGAGCGCGCTTACAGGCATTTGACTAGGCTGCGGCGCTTGGAGCAGCGGCTGCGGCTGCGGCGCTTGGAGAAGCGGCTGCGGCTGCGGCGCTTGGAGCAGCGGCTGCGGCTGCGGCGCTTGGAGCAGCGGCTGCGACGTGGACGGAACGTTGGCCAGTGACTGCGATTGTAAGTGCGACTGAAAGTGCGACTGCGACGGCGGCGATTGGTTTGGCAGATTCGTTGGGAATGCTGCTGACGTTTTTTGTGCCTTCGTCGACGAGGCCTTCGGCCTCAGGCCGAGCAGCAGCTTGAGCGCCTGCGTTTGATCGTGCGGCGTGGCTGGTGCGGCGTCAGCAGTGCCGCCCTGGCTACGCTGGACATGATCCGGGTGCTTGGCTGGCGGCGTTGCCCGTGCGCCCGACGATGACAGCGGCGCCTGTGTGGACATTGTGCGCCAGTTTTGCACCACCGGCGATTCCTTCTTGGCCGAGCGCATCGCCGCGCCAGATGTGCTGGACGAGCCTGGTGGTGGTGGTGCATCGCTTGCCGGGCCAGGCAAATAGAATTCATCGTCAATGTGCGTATTCATAGTGATCGCATTATATTTGCTGCTGGCGGCAGTGATAAAACGCCCGCCCGGCTGCTGTTGTTCGCGCCATCGCGACGCATTGCATCCGTGCGCGCCTTCAGCTGATACGACGGCTGCTGCTGGGCAGCGGGCGCCGCCGGCACCAGCGGCGGCAGCTGCTTCTCGTTGGCGTCTACAGAGAAAATATTAGTTACAGTTTAACATTGTGGAAATTGTGGATATATTTGCCACTCACCGCTGGCAGTGATGATGACCAGGGCGCTTTCGGGCACCTTGTAGACACGCTCGTCGGCAATGCCATGGATGTCGCCGCAGTTGGCCACACACCTGTCGAAGAGCAGCTCGCAGAAGGTCTCCACGGCGTTGAGGCACTCGAGACGCACCGGATTCGGATCGCTAACGGGATGTATGCCAATGACAGTGCCGGTTATGCCCACGGGCACCATATAAATGGTGCGTACGACAACGACACGATCGAATAGACGCACTGCACCGGGCGTTGATAGACATCCGGCAGCGTTACGTTCGGTTTAATCAACAAATGTGGCTTCACCTGCAGCTTGACATTCTTGACCGGCAGCTGATGCAGCTCATCGGCAGCGTCCAGCAGCAGCTCGATAGTCTCCTTGCAGACGGTACGCGAACCGCACGTGATGCGATCCACTTTCATGTGCGGCTGCTGGCGCACCCAATTGGCAACATCCTCGATATGATGCTGGCCGATGGCACCCGGAAAGATGTCCTCCTCGTAAATGAAGTCGCCGCGATCATTGCTGCTCGAGAAGTAGTCCACAATCGACGGATAAAGTTCACAATAGCCATTAATCAGATCAATGGCCAAACTGGAGTAGAACCATTGATTGTTCAGGCGGCGACAATAGCCGGCCCGCTCCTCGTTCAAGCGCGGATACTTCAGCTGCAGTCCAATATTGTGCTTGGACACATTATCCATTCGTTCGCGTCGCGGTCCCAGCACTACCCAAACGGTCCCCGTTAGCCGGCCCAGACACTTGCTGGATATATCCAATTCCCGGCACACCTTGTACGCATTCACGTAGTCACGATCCCGGTGCTCCTGCATCTGGCGTGCGGCCAACAGCTGCGGCTCCGGCCTGACGCGCAAATTAACTGCGAAAAGAGTCAACAATATAAAATTAGATCAAGCTCCGGTTACGAGAGCTGCCAGAGAAAAAGTAGCACAATCTAGAGGACCTTTATGAGGATCTTTATGGGCTCGGAGCTGCCGGAAAGGGGGCTAGATTGGCACACACACACACACACATACCCTGTACACGGCCACAGGTGTAGACAAGCATTGGATCCAATACGGTGCCCTCGCTGCCCGCATATGGATCGCCGACAAAGAAAACGGTGCTGTCAACGGGAAAGAGCTCCTCGATTTTCCGGAACTGCACATGCAAATTGTCGCGCACTGTGATATCGGAGACAACGCCCTGTGCCGGATATGGGGTTACCGAGCTGTTCCACGAATCCTGCATAAATACGTTGCCGCGCTGACCGAAATCCACAGAGCTGCCGGCATAGGTGCGTATATAGACGAGCACATGGTAGTTGGCAAACTTGATGCCCATGCGGCTGGTAAAACTACGCGCAAAGAAAATACAACTTTAGATTTGGATATGATGTGAATAAGAGCCCTGCATCGGTTAATTCATTTGCATCAAACGCGAATACTCATTCGATTAAACCAAATAAACGACTGAGTTGAACATTTGAGCTTCGAGCTAAGCAGTTATCGAATGAACGTTGGATCAGACCCGAAGGCATTCATACAAACGAAGTTCAAGCTGTTCGAGTCAGCAACATGTTCCGAGCTCGACCTGAACGAAATCAAAAACATGTTCGAGCTCGACTTGCACGAAATCAAAAACGTGTTCGAGTTCGACCTGAACGAGTCAGCAACATGTTCGAGCTCGACTTGCACGAAATCAAAAACATGTTCGAGCTCGACCTGAACGATTCAGCAACATGTTCGAGCTCGACCTGAACGAGTCAGCAACATGTTTGAGCTCAACCTGCACGATTGAGCAACATGTTCGAGCTAACCGAATATATAAGCCTTATTTCCGACAAGGCGATAATTGTCATTATCAATTATCATTGTGCATTGTTATTAGCTCAAGCAACTCGACCTTATTTGTTTGATTGAATCGACGTGTCTTTAGAATGGATCGACTCAATTTAACAAGTCCACAACATGAACCAGTTTGAATGGAACTCAAGTTGCGTTCAAGTAAAGTGTTCGATTAACACGATGCAAGGCTCATTTATAAATCGATGAGCTATTGGGTCAACACTCAACTGTTCTTCGAGCGCTTTGCAGTCGGATTCGAAATAATGCGAATCGTTGGTACGCACGCCTTCCTTGTCGACGATTTGATCGTATGTCGCGACGCTCTCCACCTTGGCCTTGATCAGATGCGGCCAGCCAATGTGCACCACCTGGCCGAGATATTGCGAAGCCACCGCCGTGAGCGAGTCCTGCTGTTGGCGCCTCTTCGGGAGCAACACCATGCTCTGATTGCGGCTCGCCTGCTCGAACACCTTGACCCGATCGTAACGCAGCGCAAACTGTAAGAGAGCAAGATGCAAAGATTAGTAACACAATCCTCTGCTACAAAATTAACAGCAGCAGCAGCAGCAGCTACACTCACATTAAACTGCAAGTGCTTCATGGTCGGGAAGCCGGGAAAGAAGACGTGACGCGCCGCATTTGGCAGCTCCACGCAGACCGTTCGCGGCGTATTGATCGCAATCTCTTGTGCCCAGCGCGCCAGTTCCGTGCAGAAGACGTGCTGCATCGATTTGAGCGGCGCCAGCGCCTTCATTGGACCCTGCGAAATGGCACTGTAATCGTATTGAAACATCGGACCATGCCGATTCCTTTCCCGCTCCTCGCCGTTCAGCAGCGGCTCACACGCCGACATTGCCCTCAGTAGGCGATCCTCCTCGATGAACGGTATCAGTACAACAGCCTCCCAGTCGTGCTTCTTGCCATTCAGATCGCTCTCGAATTCCGTCGGATAGAACTCGGCCAGTGGACTGTTCGGGTTGAGCATTAGATCGTGATATGCCGCTGGCAATAGGCTCACACTTGCCGCTGGCAGCACCGCAAGCAGCTGTAAATCGGTTCACGAATCAATCGATTTTATATACACACATATATATATATATATATAAAATCGATAAGTATCGATTTTAAGCCGCATTTCTTTTGGTATATCCCTAAACTTGAAATATTTGCCTCAAGCCAATCAACTGAAATCGATATCAGCTAGTTTTGATTTTTATCAAAATCGATATGTATCGATTATGTTGATTGATAAGTTGATTTTCTATTTGCTTTCACGTATTACGCATCCTTTCTTTAATATCGATAATTATCGATTTTCAAACTGGGCTTTTAGGCATTTCTCGAGGATTATAAGCGCATATAAGTCTATGAAGCCTATGAAGTTAATTTTATTTTAAGCCAGCCACGACTTCCTTTGCCTGTAAATCGATAAATATCGATTTGCCTACACTTCCTTACCTTATAATCGATAACTATCGATTTCCATGCACTTACATCACCTTGAAATCGATAAATATCGACTTTCATGCACTCCCCTTACTTTAAAATCGATAATTATCGATTTTCATACACTCCCCGTACTTTAAAATCGATATATATCGAATTTCATTCACTTCCATTACCTTAAAATCGATAAATATCGATTTTTCATACATTTCTTTTCTTGATTAAAAGAACATTTTTGACTTACACAGACATATAATATTTTCTATAATCTATAATATAGAAATAGTTTCAAAGAGTTTTTGCAATTGGACAACTATGTGAGAGGGAAAAAAGTTGGATTTAATTGCAGCATTAATCCAAAAATCGATAAATATCGAATTGGGAATTCAGATGGAATGGAGTCTACGTCCGATTTTTGGTTTAAACACACACATCTGAGTGTTATATTTAAGCTCCAAGAATAAACAATGAAAAGGGAAGTTATTCTCAATGAATGAATTGTTCAAGGTGTTGCGGATCGCTCGAGGTTGAAGACAGAGTATCTTCTAGGCGGATACTCTTGGCGGATTTCAAATAGATTATTTACCTGCTGGAAGGGCAAAAATGGTTTGCCGAGCTTAAAATTGATGCGAATGTCCTTGATGTTGGTCAGATCGCTGATGAAGGGCGCATAGTGATAGGGATAATACCAATCCCAGGACTGGACGCCGCGATAATAATAGTCGAGCACCCACTGCATCGCGGTCACATAATGATGGCTCAGCTCTCCAATCAAATCGCTGTGCATCTCGTTCTTGAACTTGTTCCGATAATAGTTCCGCTTGTAGTTCTGGAATTCGGAACGCGACGACATTCGCTCGTCGCCAAAATCCTCATCGCTGTCGCCCTCATAAAGCTGCCGGAGAAAGGACAAAGAAATGGTAAAGTTGTGGTAAAAAAAAAAATTCTCACAAAGATCTTTGAGAAGCAATCAAAAAAAATCGTTCATACAACCGTTTTCCGCCAATTTACCACTGTTGCGCGTGGAATTGCCCAAATCGCTGAAACACGTTCTTATTGTAGAATCGGACAAAACTTAAAACTTAGACCAAAAAAAATCGTTGAATCATAATTTTCCACCGAGGAAGTGTGGATTCTGTGAAAAAGTGTGAAACACGTCTCAAATGATTTTTCATTTTAGATCCGTGAAAATGAATTTGAGAGCGAAACGTCACCCACCAAATCGTTGAGCCCCATTTCCACCAAGGAGGAATGCATTTTCCAAAAATCGCGAAACACCACTCAAATGAATTTGAACAAAGTTTTTTGAAAATGAGTTTGTGGCCGATCAGATGGTAAATAAAAAACTTTCATACAAACATTTTACGCGATTTTTCCACACACGCGGGTGGAATTCATTACATGAGGTAACTACAGTGAAAATTTCAGCTTCCTAGCTATTACGGTTTGGGCTGTGCGTTGATCATCAGTCAGTCAGTCAGTCAGTCGGTCAGTCAGTCAGTCAGTCAGTCAGTCGGTCAGTCAGTCAATCAATCATATCAGTCAATCATATTGTATATGAAAGCCGCCCTATTGCTTAAATTTGATATAGGATATCATGATAAAAATACGTTTTTAATAAAAGAACGATATCGTAGTCTTATATGATATATAAATATATGATATAGTTGCCCGATCGGCTCGACTTCAGCATACATACATACATATCAACTGCCTGGGGCAAGAAGAAGAAGAAGCATGACAAAATCAACCTGGAGCTATGTTTATCAGCAGCTGGACTGTTGATGCTGATCAGGAATACATATATGTACATATATTATGGTTATTTAAAAAAAAAAATCGATTTTAAGCAATTTAAGTTCCAGTTGAGCGCATCATTTGTGTTGCGAAACAGTTATGTACATATATTTCATATACATACATACATATGTACATATATGAAAAATGATTTGAGTTTGGAACTTGAGGCGCATATTAAAGGTGGAAGCGAAAGCAATAAATACATACTGCGTGCTCTTTCGCACGCATTGCCTAAATGGGCGGCTGAAATGCTAAAAATTGCGAAAGACGCACACGCACATGCACACACACACACACGCACGAACTTGCAGTAAATGAAAGCTCGGCGCAGGCAATTTGCAAAAAGAAATGAAATGCAATAAAAGCTTTGGATGTGTGTGTGTGTGTGTGTGTGCAAAGCAAAGCAAAGCACGCTCTCTCTCGCTCTCGCTCTCTCTCTTTGTCTTTGTGTTGCGGTAAATGAGCAGCTGGCTGAGGTGATGTGCTTCGTTTTGGATCTAAGCAGGGTAATTACTTAAAATAAATAAAACAATTACCTTCATGCTATTGTCAATGAGTGCTGCCAGATCGTCGCTATATCCATCGAAGCTGCCATTCTTTAGGTCGGCGACATCGATATCGAACGCCTCCGTTTTGGCGTTCATGTACTTGAGATCGTCGCTGTGCTCCTTGAACAGCTGCAGCTCCACCTCGCTGAGGGCCAGCATGAACTGCTCCAAACGTTTCAGATTCAGTTTGCCGTGCTCATTGATATTGCCGCCCAGCTGACGATAGATCCGTATGTAGGTCTTGTATAGGAGCGGCAGGGCATTCGAGGATATATGCAGGCAGGGCAGATGCGGTATAAAATCGTTGCCCACCATAAAGCCCATCAGTACCCAGTCGTCGATCAGCTGTGCCACATCCAGTTTCTGTTCGGGCGTCGACAACTGATGGAACTCCAGCTCCAGATATTCGCGCAGCAAGCCCAAATGCAGCAAAAAGAAACGCGTCTCCTCCACGGAGGTGCGTTTCACACTGCGACCAAATTTCACCTCCTCGCGCAGCACAACGAAATGCAGCTCGTGGGTGCACAGACCCAATATAATTAGGTCCGCATCCAGGCCGTAGAGGCAGTGACGCGTATTGGGATCGAAATTGGGCTGCGCCTTCATATAGCGTATATAGTCCATGATCTTGTGCTCACCCTCGCCGGGCGTCTCCTGGCCGCTGAGTATGATGCGGCACTTTTGCCACAACGGATCCGTTGAGATTTTGGTGCGCAAAAAGCAGCGCAAGCCGAGCTGCAGCCGGGCCATAAACTCGGTGCCGGGCGTAATGCAATTGCTATCGAAGCGTTCGTGTTCCCGCCTTTCGCCGCGCTGCAGCGCCTTCGCCTCGAGCATCTCCGCCTCGCGGGCAGAACGGAAGCGTCGGCTGCGCTGTTGATTCATTTTGGCACGTGGCGCAACACCGTCGACGGCCAGAAAGAACAGTTTCTGCGGCTTGATCAGATAGAAGAGCTTGTCGATATAGTTGTAAATGTCCTGGAATATTTGCGGCTCCTCCAGGTGAAAGTGTATATTGTTGTCATCCGGATGCGAACAGTTGTGCACAATGCCGTTCATGTCCAGGTACAGATTATCGAATTCCGGTATCTGCAGGCAAAAAACATTTTCTCTGTTTTTTAACGATCTAGCCCCCACCCCCCCCCTTTTCCCACTCCCCCTCTTCCACACTCCGCCAATACTTACGCTATGCTCACGCGCCAATTCGCTGAGACACGGATACCGTTCGCTGATATAACGAAAAAACTTTGGTACACCCATGGTGCTGCGTCCTTTAGAGTGTTGCTTTGGGGCAAAAAGATAGGTTAATTATATATCCTTGCCACGTCTCTTTCGCAACAACGATGACAACAATTGTCTGCTGCTTGCTTCTGGCTGCTGCTGCTGCTGCTGCTGCGGCTGCTGATTCTGCTGCTGCTGCTGCTGCTATTTCGCACAGAAAATTTCGACTTGTTTGTATGCAGCGTGACTGCAGTCTGTATGCGCCTAAATTCCCATAATTCAATTACTAACTAAATACCAACTAAATACTGTTTCCACGAAAAATACCTAATGTTATGTTGAAAAGTAGTACGCCAAACAGCTGTTTGTCGTTCAATGCTAGTGATGTGCGACTGAGATAGTGACAAATATATCAAGTAGCCAGATATTTGAAAATATCTATGCATTGATTTTGACTATCAATGGTTCCACAAATTTATAACAGATTATAACTGTCATGCAATCGTTACAAGCTGCTCTGCACGTTCCGGTACTTAAAAGTCTAAACTGCAATTGTTACGCTTGCATGCATCAGTCACCAAAAAGTATCACAACGCAATGGAAAAAATACCTTATCGATGTTTTTCTATCGATACATTGCTCACATCGAGTCTCATAGCACTCAGCCAGGTGTCAGCGTACAACGTGAACAGCTGTCAACAACAAAAAAATACTCTTTTTTTTTTGTGAACGCTTCGATTCCAAAATTTTACGTAATTTCAATTGTGATTTGCCGTTGATTGCTCGCAATTGTTTTTAAACAGAAACAAGCGAAAATGTCGCTAATCCGTCAGGTGTTGTGCCGTACAGCGCCCACAATGCAGTTGTAAGTACTTGGCCATCACAGTCACAGTCGTCCTTCAATTGTGCTCCCTCCATTTGCAGCACCGCCCGTCGCTGGGCATCCTCGCAGGATGTGGCGCCCATCGATCCGAACACGGCGCTGGCACGCCCCGAAGAGCTGGAGCAACGCAACAAGCTGAGCGGCAAGATAACGGTGCCCGTTGACGTCAATCTCGGCCCCATCTCGGGCGTGCCCGCCGAGCAGCTGAAGGAGCGACGTGTCCGCATCCATATACCGCCCAAAAATGCCATGCAGAGCGGCACAGACAACATCAACACCTGGCTAATTGAGTTCGATAATCGCGAACGCTGGGAGAATCCCCTCATGGGCTGGGCCTCCACGTAAGCATCCCCGATCCGTGCCAAAAATAATTTAGCTAACCAAATCTCGTGTCTCTCTGTCGCAGCGGCGATCCGTTGTCCAATTTGAATGTGCAGTTTGGCACCAAGGAGGAGGCGATCACATATTGCGAGCGCAACGGCTGGCGCTGGTACGTCGATGGCGAGCTGAAGCCAAAGAAGGAGCGCGTCAAGAACTATGGCGTCAACTTCTCCTGGAACAAGCGCACGCGCGTCTCCACCAAATAAATTGGCAGCCCGAATGGAAGCCGAAAATTGCGCATTATAATTTAATTGTTTTTTTTTCTCCTCTTTCGCTTACATTAAAACTTACAACTAGAACGTGAAGTGAAATGTAAAGATGAAATTAATTGTATTTTGTGCGCTTGTGGATGCGCGGGGAGCGGGAGCGGCAACGGCTGCGGGAGCGCTTGGAATGCTTTCGTTTGCCCTTGTGATGACGCCGGCTGCGACTGCGACTGCGCTGCTTGGGCAGAGAGCGTCGGCTGCGCTCACGACTGCGACTGCGACTGCGTCGCCTGGGCAGCAGCTCGTGGCGGCCGGCAACCGCTGGAAGCGGCTGCTGCTGTCGTTGCTGCTGCTGCTGCTGCTGGAACGCCTGCATCTGCAGCTCGACCAGCTGATGCATCTCCTCGTGCAGCGTGGGCTTGCTCTTGCGATGCCGTCGCTGTTTCCGATGCGCTCGCCTCGTCTCGGCCACCAGTTGCGCAAAGTTGGCGTTCTGCTCGCAGCTGGGCGGCTGGCGTGGCGTGCGGCTGAGCACATGCTCATAGATGAGCAGCTTCTGGGCTGCGCTGAAGTTGGCCTGCAGATCGTCGAAGCTGTTCGCCTCCAGCAGTTGCTGCGGCGGCCGCAACTCCGGCAACAGCTGCTGCAGCTGTGCCGCAGTCAGCTGTACGCTGTGCTCGGCTGGGCGTGAGCAGCTGGGCGGCAGCTGCTCCGCAAGCAGGACGCTGCCTGTTGCGGGGATCGGGGGGCGATGATGCTGCTAATGACAAGCCGTGAGCGACTGAACTGAAGGCGGAGTTTATGAATTGAGACTTGCCTGTAGCACGCCCTGCTCTGTCCAGTGCAGACGCTGCAGCAGCTGCTGGAGCTGCGCCCTGCTACTGGCCACATATTGACGCAGTTCGTCCTGGACAGCGGCCTTCTCGCACGACATATCAAATGCATTAGCGAGCACTGGCTGGAATTGAGTATGTTTTGTTTAGCGTAGCAGGGTCACACTAGAAAATACCAAACAATGGAAAGAAATGCCAGAAAAACAAATGCAGCTTGCAAAATAATTTGATTTGTGGAAATGCTTAGAAAACGTAGGAAAACAAAAATTACACAAACTGCTCTTAAAACTATTTGTTGCCATTCAATCCAGCAGTTATTTTAGCTCCAAAAGAGCACAGTAAAAGCCATTATCAGGCAGGCGGCACCAACCCAAGGCGATTTGCGTTCCCCAATGCGCGCCAGCTTCCAAAATGTGCCCAGCAATCTGCAATGCATTAACAATATTTTCAATTTTAATATATATGTATATATGTTTGGATAACTGCTTACCCCGTCTTGTTGCGATCAATGATGCTGGGAAAGAGCGAGCGCAAATAGGCGCAGGTGCATATCAGCAGCAGAATGACCGACAATAAGCTTTGGAAATTAAATAATGCACTCTGAAATTCAATAATGGCTTGTTAACTAATTTAAAGCGCTACTTGCACACATTTAATTATTACCATCTTGTTGTGTCGCTTAACTGTTGGCAAATAAAAATAAATAAATAACAAATTAAACTATGACGTGCCGTGTTGAGTGTGGCCGAGCTTGCGATGTTTAATATCGGAACGCCGGCCGGAATATCGCTATACTTTATCGTTACAACACGCAACTCTAAATTGCCGCCACGACTTGTGCGTGAAATATCGATGACCGTTACAAATATCGCTCAAATGCATGTCTAATCTATCGATATTTTTAGTCATCCCTACCTCGACGTCTCTAATACGCTGCGGGATTTTTTTTTTGCTCTATTACTATTTTTTTTGTCGTAATTGTAATTTGATCGTCGAATTGCAAAACCTATTTGATTAGCCGTTGAGGGTTCTTTAGCGAGAGCCCCATGAATGGCACGGGCTCAACAACGATCGAATTGAAAGTATCCGCCAATTGCGTCAAATAAGAAAAAAAAAAAACTTTTTACTTTCTTGTGTATGCGTGTGTGTGTCGGAGTGTGCTGCACACAGCGCAGCATTCGGTTGAACTTTAAATACAAATACAGTCGATTAAAACATAGAATTGTCCAACAAGCAAGTACAGTTGAAAAGAAATTATTTTTCAGATGAATTCGTAGTCCTTGGGCTCGTTCATCTGACGAGAAGAGTTATCAATTTGTGTTTGTGCCTCGCATTGCAATTCTTAATGCAGAGCAAGTCGCGCGCTCGTTGAAAAAAAAAAAAAAAAAAACGTACTTGCTACATTTTTTTTCGTACGTCTTCGTACATGAAATCGGTAATATCACACATATGTATATGTTGTTTGTTGTGCATGTGTGTATGCGTGTAAGTGTGCGCTCCGCGTTGCGTTTTTTTGTTGAGAATTCTAGCCGCTGAAGCGCTCCTGTGTGTTTGTGTGCGTCTGTGCGAGCGAGCGAGCAGAAAGGCAATACCGACATCAACCACAACAACAAAAGCAACAACCAAACTCTACATACACAGTCGCAGCTCACACACTCTTGTCATGTTGACACTCTTGCGGATTCGGCCTGCACTTGCATAGCGGTAAGTGCTTAATACAAAAATATGCTCATCAAATAATTCATGTAAGAGAAAGAAAGAGCGTTGCAGCAAGTAGATTTTAAGCAAGTTCGAATTTAAGTTAGGGCACACTTCAACATTTTTCAAAGGAATCAAATTGTATATATAAATATATCTATACATATGTATATGTACGAAACGTAACATGGGCATGCACACACATGTGTGTGTGTATTGTCGTCGTCGCCAGTGCCTGTGCCTATGTGTTGGTGACAGCGCCGCGCGCTGTTAAGTTTTGCCTTTTTTTACAGCACAATAACCGTCATATAATTAGGTGCATTTGGTTTGGCAAAGCAGTGTCAAAAATGTGCCCTATTCAAACGTAACAGCTAAATACCGAATGAAGAGACGTTATAACAATTTCACATGCATATATAATCACATATACATATATGTGTTTTCATATACATAATTTTAAACGCTTCTAGAATTGCGTTCACGCCTGTGCTGATTGTTGTTGTTTTTTAGTCTCTTGAAAAAAAAAAAAAAACATCAGCGGCACTTCTTGCTTCTGCTGCTGTTGCTGCTGCTGCTGTTACTTCTGCTTCTTCTTCATCGTTGTCGTCGTCGATGTTGTCGAGTTGTGTTCAGTCGATATCTTCTCATCGCAGACATTCACCAAAAAAGTGTTGGCCAAAGCAGCAGCAGAGCAGCAGCAGGCAAGAGAGCGCGCAAATAATAATAAATGGAAAAAATTGACTTAGTATAAAATAATATCAAATAATCAACAAATAATTGAAAAAAAAAACAACAGAAATCAAGTAATTAAATATTTTTTGTTAAGTGCGCAACAACAAAAGTGTTTGCATAAAAAAAAAGTTAAAGGCAGTGCCAGGCAATTTTTGTCTCTCGGCAACTGCGTGGCTGCTGCGCTTGTGTGTGTGTATGTGAGAGCGAGCGAGCGGGAGCGAGTGCGAGAGAGCGCGCCACATAAAGTTTTTGACACTCGGCAGCAACCAGCAGCAACAAGCTTTTTCGCAACGCTGTGTACGAAAGAAGGAAAGAAAAGGTAAGAGATGCATTCGTTTATTTTGCTATGTTTTCTATGAAACGCACATACACACACACACAGAAACAAACACTTATACTAGCTCATTGGAAATGCATGCTTCTTTCTAGTGAAGTTGAGAAAATAAAAATAAATTAGAAACAATTGCTAATTGCCGCCGCTTTTTATTTTTGTTTCTGCACTCTTGCCTTTTGCTAGCTTTTCCATATTCATTTATCGTAGCGTTTGTTTTGCGTTCGCACTGCAGCTATCAGTTGCGCTTTGGCTTTTTGCACCTATCCGCTAGCTACTTGCACGCTTTTAACTTGCTTCAATTCATTCATATTAAACAATAGCTGGCTCAATTCATTCAAATGTATGTATGTGTATATATATTTTACGCAATTTTTTGACATTTCATTTTGCGCGATGTTCTTTTTACCCATACGTGGTCGTGCATACATATTCAGCTCTCTTCGCTCTTTCTTCTGGTCCCGCACACACACACACACACACACACACACATATTGCCGTTTGCAGTGAGAGCTTTGGCCAGTGTTGCATTTGGGCGCGCGCTGCTTTTAGTGCTTTTTCCGTTCAAACGCTCGGTTTTAACATTTAACATGTTCGGAGCGCCTTTGTTGTTGCCTTTGAAGTTTTTTTTATTATTATTATTATTATTTTTTTTTTTTAGCGCGTAAACCCGTTTTGTTTATTGTTTTAAGCAACAATACGCCAAATGTAGTAGAAATTTGTAAACCGGTACCAGGGGGTACTTGATGATGATTGCCAGTTTCTGGTTACGTTGAAACAATTATTTCATTTCGTTTGGATGGCATTAATACGCGTACGTACAGTGTAATAAATATCAATATAAACACAAGTTTTCTTCTAATTACACAAACACATGCCCAATAAGGTGTGTGTGTGTGTGTGTGCGCCTTGCACTTGCAAAATGTGTGGAAAATTTCTAATCAATTTGCAACGCAAAATGCTGCAGCAAGACAATATTGTGTGGCGGGGAGGGGGGGGGGGGGGGGCTGTCATAAAACAAAATTGTTGTAAATAGATTTAGTTAATCGCAAAACCAATTACAAGACTTAACAATCAGCAGGCACAAACAAAGATTTGCTTATCGATTTCAATTGGCCGTCATCTGCCGATGACGTCAAAAGCCATCGCGCAGATTCTGATGAACAAAATAATAAAACAACAACGCCAGCTAAATGGTACTAGTAAAGTGCTGCCCAGCAGCGGGCAGCTTAACATTTCCAGATTAACATTAACATACACACACTAGGCGCAGACGAGAGAGATGGCGTCGCGAATGAGTGCGAGCTGCAGCAAGCGCCGATTACAGCTTTATATTTCATTCATCTGCTTCGTTTCTTTGTTGCTTTATGCCTGCACAAAAATTTGTCAAGGCCACAGTTGCTGCTGCTTTTGCTGCGGCTGCGGCTGTTGCTGCTATTGCTGTTTTGTCTATCACACGCTGATTTTGCCCTCTTGTCGTTTCTTGTGTGCATATACACACAATTCGTGCATAATGCATATTGTTGCAGTTATGCTTGAAAGAGTGAAAGAGAAATAGAGCTAAAGCCGAGTTCTATGTTGCTGCTGCTCGTGCACGCATACACAAACACACCCACACACAAGCAGACTATTTGCATTTTTCATTAGATTGTTGCGCACCATTTTTTCCCCAACTTTCCCCACTCCGTTTCTGGTGTTAAATCATTTTTCATTATCGATTTGCGTAATTTGGCAAACAAATAAAATAGAAGCAAAGTAAATACAAATCAAATAAAATGTTAGACGCACAGTGGTTATAGCGCTGCAATAATGCAGCAAAAAACTAAGGAAATATATGTTTATGTATGTATGTAACATTCTTTGGTTTTACCGTTTCGCTGTTTGTCTTGTTCCTGTTCCTCCCATAGCTAATATTTCGACCACAAGCAGAAATCTTAACTAAATAAATGAGCAACAAATTATTGCTGTTTCTTGCTCTCTGGTCGAATTTGCTAATTCAATTAGAAAATACAAAATAGTATATTCTTATTGCCTAATATATGTATGTATGTATGTATGTCGTATGTGTATATAAATGTGTTTGTATGTACTGTGCAAGTGCACAATTGGCATTGTTTTTTTTTGTCATGGGACACACGTTGTGCGAAATTCTTATCTCACCAATAACGGTAACGACGCAGCGCTGCTTGCCTGCTACCGTTAATAATCCACGCATTAACAATGTTTTTGACAACGCAGTCAGAGCGGCTCAGTGCTGCGCCCATTAGCCTGTGTCTCACGTCAAATCTAGCTGTTTTTTCTCTTTTAAGCATTTATATTATATTTATAATAGCTATTTAAGAGTTATACAAGCCATATCTATATATATTATATGCATAGTATTTATGTTTAATTCGGCGAGCCCGAATTAAAGTGCGTACCAGCTATTATGTACAAATGAAAAACAAAAAAAAAAACAAATAGTTGTTTTCTAGCTATATTTGCCCGTGTACTATTTTAGCGTGTTGTGGCTGGGACCGAGTAGAGCAGCACTGTTGCTGCTTGATAGCGACGGCGCGTCGTTGAAGGCGTCGCGTCGCATCGCTCGCGCCGGGCAGCGATCGCTCGCGTGCCGTTTTCGCTGCTTTTGCTTTTGCTTTTGCTCATTCTTATTTTGACAAGCGACGTGTGCGGAACGCAACGCATTACGCGCGGTGTTCATCTGATCAAATTTCGTTTACCTTTTCGTGCGTAGCGCGGATCAAGCAGACTCTAGCACGGACACCACACACACACACACACACAAACACTTATGCGAGCTAACTGTGTCTTTATGTGAACGTATTCCTGTGTGTGTTTATGTGTTAATACTTTTATATTTTTTTACTCTTTTGTTTGCGTGTCTATGTTTGTGTGAGAGACATTTGGTGGTAAAACGTTAACAATTGTAGTTAAAAAAAAAAAAAAAGGAAGTTCAATCAGCAGCCGCAGCGCAGCACGCGCGCTGCAGGCAGCAGCAGCAGCAGCAGCAGCAGAAATGGCTCAGTGTTGTGAGACGACAACAACAACGGCAACAATGTCCTCGCGATTTGGCAGCACTGCCAGACAGGCGACGCTGGCGTCCGCATTGCTATGTATGTATTATAAAGCCACCCTGTATTTAACACACTAGACTCACGCACACACACATGCACTCATGCACCACCCGCGCCGCCTTTACACTCATGAACTTGCACTTGGGCTTCATTCTTATTCTTCGTCTTCTTGTTGTTGTTGTTGCTGCTGTTGTTGTTTTTGTTCTTGCTGCTGCCAGTGGTCAATAATTCAGCTGGCACTGCGCTCTTTGACTCTTCTTCTTTGTCGACCGTCTGCCCTTCGTGACACACATTTTGTGGCAATCGCGTGTTTTGGCACTTGGCATAAAGTTTAATGACTCTTTTATATACCTACATATGTTTCATTAACTTCAACTTAGTCAATTATATTTATTACTCGTTTCTTTTGTCGTCTGCTTATTGATTTACACGCAACAAACTCTGCCGTTATGCACATGGATATATGTGTGCGTGTGTGTTTGTGTGTGGTATTGGTCACACTGTTGCTGCGCGCTTTTATATTATGGGCAGACCACATTCTAATGCAGCGGTTGTTGTTGTTGCTGCTGTTGTTGTTGTTGCTGCTGTTGGTGCCTTTTAAGCTATTTGTCATCATCATGATTGACTTCATTATCATCATTCGTAATTTGTAATCATCAAAACAAAACAGCAGACGACAGCAACAGATATTTGTTTGTATTTTGTTTTCAGTTTTGTTGTTTTGTTCTGTTTTTTTTTTGTTTTTATTTTTTTTCGAATATATTAGAATATTTTCGCTATTTTTGTGAATTTCCGCCTTCAGACTTGTTTTGTGTTCTTGCCGCTCCGTTTGTTAGTTCTAACAGTTTGATGAGATTTTCTGTAGAAAGACGAGACCTTTTGCACACACACACACACACACATGCACACGAACACACATGCACATGCTCACATTTTATACTTTCTTTCATTTGCGAATTTCTGTTCAACCGGAATTGTGTGAACAAAAATTGCACAGAAATCAAATGCGAATGTTTTTGGCCTTGAGCATTTTATTTATTTATCTATGTATATATATATATATATATTTTTTTTTAATAATTTTTAATATTAATTCAGTTGATTTGCTTAAGTTTGCAAACTATGTGCAAAATTCTAATTGGAATACGCTTAACACTTACATCGAACACTTCTGTGTGTGTGTGTGTGTGTGTGTGCGTGTGCTTTCTATTCAAATTCGTCATCAACGGCACTTTTATCCGCGACATGTCGGTCATTGCCTCTGCTTCTTGCGCCAAATTTTATTTATTGCTTTTTTTTTGGTGAAAGTTTAACCCCTTAAAGCAAAGCCCACCACACGTGTGCGCCTGCTGCTGTTCTACACTCTGCACAAAAGAGATCGCAGCGAGATAGCAAGAGAGCAGCAGAGCGCGTGAGAGGTTAAAGAGAAAAAAAGGGGGTGGGGGGGGGGATGGAGGGTTGGGGAGCGATATATGTACAAAGCGCTCTCTTAAGCTAAGCTCGGTTTTTGCGGCACTTTTGATGATGCATTGCCGTTCGGTTTGAGGAATGTTGCCAGACACACACACACACACACAGACAGACACAGACACAGACAGACGGCGACATTGTTGTTTGTTATAAAACACTTGGCACGTTTATGGCAAAAGCTTAAAGCCCTTACCCAGTGCATCAAGATGATCGAAACCGAAAGTAACGTATGACAATGCGATTATACGCTTAAATAAATAAATAAATAAATGTGCAGTTATGTATGTATCTACATATATATGTATATATGTATGTATGTGTGTGTGTGTGTGTGTGCATGCATGAATGCGCATGTACGCGCAAGCGAGAGTGTAGAGACATTGGAATTGTCAATGTCAAGGTGTGCATATTGTGCATATTTATGGCTGGAAGCACTGGAAGCACTGGAAGCAAAATGCAACATCAAGTTCAAGAGGAAGCGCGATGCGTGCGGCACAGTGGTCGCTGCTTTTGAAATGTGAAAAGCTTTGGCTGAAATTTATGTTTCCCCTCAATCTCCCCTCCAACCTTCCTCTTTGCAATTGCGTCTTTGAGACTTTTGGCTTATCTAATTCTCACCCCCCTTTTGACAGCCAATTATTCGATTAGATTGGCATTTAAATATGTTAATATATTCCTATTCAACAATATAACGTACTTTATTAAATATAATTGCCTATTAAATGAGGCAAGTTTAACGTTTTACGTTTACACAGTCACAAGCTTCTCAATATTTATTGCGAATTAATTGAGCGATAACTGAGCTTAATAAACTGCAGTGTTGCAAAATGATCAAAAAGGTTAAAATGAATTGCTAAAGATTGCAAAATATTTGTGTTACAGTGGAGCAAATACATAGCAAATAGGAGAGCTTCGTTTCCATGGTTGGCTTTAAACTTGACAGGAAATTTGATAGCAAATTTGCGAGCAAATATCCACCTGCATTTATTTCATCTGATATTTTATTTATTGCAAGCTGTAAGAACTGACTGACTGACTGACTGACTGATTGATTGATTGATTGACCGACTGATTGATTTATTGATACTTAACAAATCGCCAAGGAGCGGGTTTTTCGATGAAACTTTATCAATGATTATGAATAATTCACCCTGATTAGTCGGAAAAACGGGTGAATCCGACTTCAAAGTGAAAAGTAATTTAATGAGCCGGGCAAAGCCGGGTACTACCTGCTGCCAATATAATGTGTATTTTAGTTGAATTTTAATTGCATTGTTTTGTTGTACGTTTTATTTTTATAGTGGTTTCTTTTTTTCTTCTCTTTTTATTGTCTTATCAGGCGGCAGACATATACACACACACACACATATATATATATTATAATATATGTACATTATTACAATATTTATAATGTATATTTTGTTGATAAGTGAGAGCAAAGCGATTAGCACATGGAAAAGCTGGCAGCTGGTTAATTGTTGCGTGTTCTCTTCTTCTTCATGTTTATTGTTGTTGTTGTTCTTGTTGGGCATGTTCGATTTATGAGGATAGAAAAGCAAACGAGAGGCGGTGGGTGGGGGGGGGAGGGTTAATGAGCCCTGCACAATTCGCAATTGTTGCTTATCAGTCAGTCGCTGTCCGGAAATAATCGCATATCAAATACTTTAAATACTTTGTAATTAACGAGTCGATAAATGCGACGCGACATATAAAAAGGCGAAAGAACAAGCAACACTGATTGTGAAAGGTGTGTGTGTGTGTGTGTGTGTGTGCGGTCACACTGGCCACGCGCTCGGCGAATGCATGCGCGCGCGCCCGTCCAGAAGATAACAATGATAAGCGCAGAGCGCGCTAAACGAGAGGGCAAAAGCCCGCTCGCAATGCCGCGATTCGCAAATTGCAAATACTTAGTAGTGGTAAATGCCTTGAAAAAGCTTTACACCAATCAGGATTCCAATTGGATTATGTGACCTTCCAGTTGCTCCATAAAAAGCTCACGCCACAAGGAATTGTGGACTTTGCTTCCAATGCTGCCGCTGCCGCTGCTGCTGCTGCTGCTGCTGCTGCTGCCGCTGCTGCTGCTGCTGTTAGCTGATACCGCATCCACCTTGTTTTATTGTCCTCCTCTTTCCAATTCCATTTCGCCACTCGCTCGCCTATCGCCGCGGGTCAAGATCGTTTTTATGACGCATTTGCGCTTCCCCCATAATCTATACACATACATACATATATAGAAATAATTATACATATACAGAGCAAATATGCAAAGTGTCTTCCATGTTCGTCGTTTTCTCTCGCGTTTGTTCATTTGCACTTGGGATCAGTTAAGAAAGTGGGCGACGCTCTGCCCACAAACCACACGCCACCCCCGCCCCCTCCCCCCCCCCCCCCCCCCACGCACACTTCTGCTAAGCATTTGGCCTGTTGCGCAAACACAACCAATTGTGAACTAGTCTACACAGACACACACACACGTATACATATGTATGTGCAAATGCATTTGCATTTGCTGCCGCTGCATAAGCTCTGCCTCTGTCGCTGCCGTCGCCGTCGCCGACGTCAATCAGTTGCCGTTGCCAATCAAAAAATCAAAGCGCAAAATCGCGCCATTCGATTTTTTTTGCGTAGTTTTGAAAACAGTTTTTATTGCCTCTTTTTATGTTGCTTTTTTCACATTGCTTTGCGTTTTTTTTTTGTTTTTTTTTTTGTTTTAGTTTTTAATTTTTATTTGTTGACCTCTGCTGCCGGCACAGTTTACAGTTACAACTGCGCTGCCGACTGCGTCGCAGCGTCAATTTGCTTCGCTCGGCTTTTTGCGTTTAGTGCACAATTTTTAGTATTGGCGCATTGAGCGTTGTGTCTGCTTCACGCTGTTTTTTATTTTTATTTTTATTTCTTCCCTTCTTCGTTTCGTTTCACTTTTTTTTTTTTCTCTTTCGTTTTTCCTTTTATAATTCTGCCCGCGCGCGCGCTCGCAGCTCGACAACTCAACTCTAAACTTGGCCCAGGTAATTGCATCTGCACACACACATGCATACACACTCACACATGCATACACACACACACACATAAAGAAGCATGCACACATACACGCACACAGAGAAACTCGAGCTTTTGATTGGCCGACTGGCTATTCGATAGATAAGTAGTTGTCTTCGTCGATTGCTTGTTTTTTTTTTTTTTTGTTTTCAATTTAATTTATTTATATATTTTTTATTGCTACGCGCATCTATTGTTATTAATGCTCATTTATTGTTGTTGCTGTTGCAAGTTGATTTCCAATTACTTTAATGAGCCATATTAATTAATTGTCGCATGTGCAAGTGCGCATTTTAAGTATGCCGCCGCGCTCACAGATGCATTCTATAAATAATAATAAATCACATCAATCGCAATATTCAATGCAAATTTCCGCTGTGTATATACACACTTAAGCTGCACTGTGGCCAGTGTTGCCAACTTGTCAAACGCAATTTAGACTATTTTCAGAGTTAATCTGCTGAACAAGAGTAAAGTTTTAAGGATTTAGCCACATTTTTGGCTGGATTTAGCTGCTTTTTTGAAGCGGCACTTGGCTACAGTTTGCGGGTGAAAAGGATCGTTAAAAGGGAAGGGGGTTACTTTTATTGATTTGCGTATGAAATTTGTGCAATTTCAGCGTAAAAGCAATGTTAAATATTGCCCAAACGCGATGAAGCCACATTTGATGGCAACACTGGCTGCAGCTAGTTGAAACAGCTGATCGATAAACGTGCATGCTCTTGCATGTATGTGTGTGTGTGTGTGTGTGTATGCACGTATGCGACGGTGTCTGCTGTTAAGGTTTGGCCTGTCTGTCTGGCAGCACTGACCTTGACAGAGCTCTTTTGCTGGTGCTGTGACTTTAGTCTGCGTTCCGCTGTTAAGTTAATTGACAAAAGGGCATCGGCATTTGTGGACGTGGACTGTGTCTTTATCTCACTCTCTCCCACACGCACTCACACATTTGTGCACGTGTATTGGACATTTCTTGAGCAGCGATTATGCACAGCTGATAAATTACTGTAAATTACAATTGCCGCCTTCAGACTGAGGCAGCGAGTAAATGATATGAATGTGCATAATATAACATTAGATCATTTACAGCATGCGCCCGTCTCTTCTTCTTCTTCTTCTTCTTATGCTTGTTTTCGTTTCTGTTTTATATTGCGGTTGTTTGTTATATTGCATTGCTTGCATAAGCAGCAATAATAATTTCTTTTGCGCTTGCTGCAAATATTTTTTTCAAATTTGATTTCGTTTTTTCTCCTTTTGTTTTTATCTTTCTTTCATTTATTTTCGTTTAGTAGATTTCAATTGCAAATGCAATTCAAACAAAAGAGTGCCAACAACAACAACAACAACAACAGCAGCAGCAGCAATAAGTTTTGCAGCATTTTGATGCTCTACAATTAAATCCAGAACGAAGAAGCAGAGAACTGTTGCGTTAATCGATCTTTAATTACGACCAGGGCTGAACTATCGATAACAACTCATTAAATAGCAGACACACTTAAACACACAAACACACGCACACAAACACACAAACACGCGCGCACGCACGCACGCACGCACGCATCCCTCGCATTCCGACTTGTCTTTTCCTTTTCCTTTCTGTACTTTTGTGTTAAGCAACAGCTGTTTTCCTTTATACATATATATACATATATACATATATATATTTTTTTTAGTTGCTGCCTCTTCCGCTGCTTCTTTGGCTAGCAACGCGCAGCGTTCGCCCACGCAACGCGCACGTTCTTCATTTTCTTGTCTCCTCGTTTCTCGTTTCACATTTTACGTTTCTTGCTTGTGGTTCGGTTCGTAGTTTTTTTTTCGTGCGCGTCAAGTGCAAAAAGAAGTCAAACATACGCCTTAAATATACACACATACATATATACATACATATGTATATACAATGTATATGTAAACACACGTATGTATGTATGTGCATATGCATATGTAGTAGTTATCTAGTTTCTCTCCTTTTCGGACAGTTTTTTTCATTTCTTCTTGCTTTTTGGTTTTAATTGCGTCTGCTTGTAGACACATTTCATTTAACTGGTTTTATTTTTGGTATTATATTCTATTTACTTATTTTTGTGTTGGTTTTTTTTTTTCGTTGCTTTGCATACAATTCGCACGCCCATTCACACACACACACACACGCACACACACGCACGCACACATACGCACATATTTATGAATAATATTGTTGGGCTGCTTCGTGTGGAACACACAACAACAACAACAACATCATCCAACCCATCAGCAACAACAACAACAACAACAAGCACAATTCCATTCCAAACAACAACAACAACAACAACACAAACAATTAAAACAAATACTCGCCTAATTTCATGTCTCACGCCACAACAACAACAACAACAACAACAACTGTTAACTGCAGCAGCGCCTGCGACAACAACAACAACAACAACAACATCGGCAGCAACAGCAACAACAACTCAGCAGTGCAACAACAGCAGCAGCAGCAGCAACAGCAGCAATTCAAAACATTTCAATTACATTGCAGCTAGTTCGGCTACAATCGATGAGGACAACCCCGACCTACCTCCCACAACAACAACAGCAGCAACAGTAACAGCAGCAACAACAGTAACAGCAGCAACAACAGCAGCAGCAACAACAGCAGCAATAACAACAACAGTTGCTGTTAAATTATTGCCGACGCTTTACCAAAAATTGACGCCTGCTACCCAATTGCCCGCCCAATCCAACAACAACAACATCAATTCCAATTCCAATTCCACATCCTCCGTATCCGCATCCGCATCCGCATCTGATTCGAATTCCATATCCAATTCGAGTTCAACGTGCAGCTGTTGTTGCCGTGATAACTTGCAAATCTCTGGCGATTTGCTGCTGCAACAACAGTTGGAACAACAACAACAGCACGCCGCCGCAGTTGCCGCCGCATCGGTTGTATTGGCCAAACAGGTGGTACGCTCCGTGACCGCCACAAGCATCATGGATATGCCCTATAACACCTCGCCGTCGCTACGCGTACGGACCACCTCGCTGAATCAGCTAAAGAAAACGGCCGATTTGGCCATTGAGAATGAGCTGCATGTCTGCCCCTCGATAATGTCCGATGAGTTGCGCAAATTGTTGCCGCCAACATCGGAAACGGTTATGACAAAACCGTTTCCGATACGCGGCGAACGCACCATAGCCGATTGCACGACACCGCATGTGATTGCCATGGTGGGTCTGCCGGCGCGGGGTAAGACCTTCATATCCAAGAAGCTGGCACGTTATCTCAACTGGATTGGGATCGCGACGCGTGTCTTCAATTTGGGCGAATATCGGCGGCATGCAACAACCGCCTACAAGTCGCACGAATTCTTTCGTGCCGACAACGAGGAGGCGATGGCCATACGGAATCGTTGCGCCAACCAGGCCCTGCACGATGCCTGCGAATGGCTGCTGAGCGGCCTCGGGAGCATTGCCGTCTTCGATGCGACCAATTCGACGCACGATCGCCGGCAGCTGATCTATGATATTGTTGTGAAACAGCATAATTTTCGTTTGTTCTTTGTGGAATCGATATGCGATGATCCGCAAATAATTGAACAGAATATACTGGAGGTGAAGGTCAGCTCGCCGGACTATATCAATATGAATACCGAGCTGGTTGTACGCGATTTCCTGCAACGCATCGAACACTACGAGGAACGCTATCAGCCGATCGACGAGGTCGCCGAAACCCATCTCAGTTTCATGAAGGTCTACAATGCCGGCAAAAAGGTGGTCGTCTACAATAATGAGGGTCATGTGGAATCGCGCATCGTTTACTATCTAATGAATATACACATTACGCCGCGCACCATTTATCTGACACGGCACGGCGAATCCGAGCACAATTTGAGCGGTCTAATTGGCGGCGATTCCAATTTGAGTGCACGGGGTCATCAATATGCAAGGGCCCTGTCCTCGTTTATAGCCCAGCAGCAGATCGGTGGTCTGCGCGTCTGGACGTCCTGGATGAAGCGTGCCATACAAACGGTGGCGGATGTTAAGGCGCCGCAGGAACGCTGGAAGGCGCTCAACGAAATCGATGCCGGACACTGTGAGGAGATGACCTATGAACAGATTAAGGAACGTTTTCCCGAGGAATTTAAGGCGCGCGATGTTAACAAATTTGCGTATCGTTATCCGCGCGGCGAAAGCTATGAGGATCTGGTTGCACGCCTCGAGCCGGTCATTATGGAATTGGAACGTCAGGGCAATGTACTTGTTGTATCACATCAGGCCGTATTGCGTTGCCTGTTCGCCTACTTTCTGGACAAGTCCGCCGATGAGCTGCCGTATCTGTATGTGCCGCTGCATACGGTTATTAAGCTAACGCCCGTCGCCTACGGCTGTAAGGTGGAGCATATTAAGCTGCCGATCGATGCGGTCGATACGCATCGTCCAAAGCCAAAGATACCCGGCGATGTTAGCCAACCGGGCATGGATGGTCTCAGCGGTGAGCTGGTCGCGCCCGATGGCGTCGGCAAGGTGCTCATCGTGGGCGATGATGTGGCAACGGCAACGGCAGCGTCCACCAACGGCAGCGGCGGCTCTCGTCTCGACACTCAATGACATTGCCCCCCCCTTTGCCCCCACAAGCCAACCAAATCCAAGACATTATAAAAGGCAACCCCGTACCGTACCCAACCCAAGCCATGGTCCGATCGATCCACAACAGAACTACAATAGAAAAAACAGAGCTCACTCAACACACACACACACACACGCACACAGCGCTGGCGTTGTAATCTTAACAGCTGGCTTAACAGTCGCTGTTAACGCAGCACTTACATTAACAGCGGCAGTTTACGGCCTAAAACATAACCCAATCAAATGTTAAAGTCACATGAGCTCATATAGACAGCTTATAGTTATTGCTGTTCAAATTGAATGTTACGCTAACAGCCGCTTTAACTTACACTAGACTTAACAGTTGCAGATAACATACAATATTTTTGCGCTTTGCTCAGCAACAGCTTCAACATACTTCTTAACCTCAAAGCTGTTAAATGTTAGAAAAGTTAGCTTTTGCAGCTTTTACTCTTAACTGTCGTTACAAACTGTAGAAAAACGCTCGCAGAAATAAATGTCTGCTAACTGGCTTTGTACTTCGTACTGTTAACATTTTAACAGTAACATTAACACACACACTTTAACAGCAACAATGTCTGTTTACCATCCTTTACAGCTGCTGTAGCTTGTAATGTTATTCCTTTTCATTTAACAGTGTACTTACATGAGCACGAAACAAAAAATGCTTACAGTCTGCTAACAGTTTATGTTTAAATGTTAACTGTAACAGTAAAAAGTGCTGTACTTCATAATGTTAACGCTCTCTTGAAGAGCTGTTAGCAATAACAGTCGCTGACTTTACCCCCCCTCTCTCTCTCTCTCTGTCTCTCTCTCTCTCTCTCTCTGCTAATTTTATGCCGCTTGCCTTTGTGTTTTAGGCTTAGATTTAACAACTTTTTGTTTTCATCTCGAGATTTTTTTTTTTTAGCTAATTTTTGAAATGTTAATTTTCTGTTAAACATTTATTTTATCTGCTTTTGTCATTGAAATTGTGCTAAATTGTGATTGGAATGACGCTGTTATATTGATGTACTTTACTTACAAAACTTAAGAGACACAAGAACTTAAACCGTTAACCGTAGCCTAGAGTAAGACGAAATATATATTTTTAAAACATTTTTTTATATATATATTAACATTTATTCAAAATTTTACAACTACATACATATATTCACATTTTGTTTATCTTCTTTTCGCTGCTAACAATGAACTGAGACCTTTGCTTCAAAATCAGATATATATATATATATTTATAAAATTAAATACAATTATAAATGCGTATAATTATGTACGAGCGAAATAAATGATGATGTGCGTTTTACTTAAAACGTTAGCCAACACTTGATTGTAACTGTACTTGTCGTAAGTTTTCCGTTGATTCCGTGTCTTTTGTCTTATTGCGTTTACAAAATATAAACTATAAATCTATATATATATACACACACACACACACACAACTAAACAAATACATTTAAATCTATATATATATCAAAATATTGTAATGACATTATATAAAGAAATTACTCAAAAATAAAACCAAAAAAAAAAAAAAAACATTAATCAAAGCCAGAATAAAACCTGACAAATATTGCTTTTTGAAACCAAGTCTTAGTTAGGTTGAGCTTTACGGGGAAGTAAATGCAACTTTTGATTCGACTTATTTTAAAGACTTCTTGAATTATTAAGCCAGATATCTGTACTAGTTGAACAACTACATGATCTGTCAGCTGTTATTAAGAACAGTTATCTTTTAGCATAAATATTCATGTTAGCTTAATAACTGTTAATGTTCGTATAAATGTTAGTGAAAGCGTTTTTGATCTGAGTTCTTTTAGCCAAGAAGCCATAGACTAGTTAAACAACTAACAACTACATGATCTGTTAGCCGTTACGTAGCCAACAGTTAGTTTTTAACATAAATATTCTTGTTAGCTTAACAGCTGTTAATGTGAATTCGTTTAGTCATGCAAAAATTGAGTATTAGTCAGAATAAAAGTTCGTTAAAGTGAACAACAAACCTGCTTCACATTAGAAAAAGCCATTTTTAGTTAACCTTTACAACAGTCAAACGTTTTCATAACAGTTTTTTTTAGCTATGTAATCAAAACGTTAATGTTAACAGTTCTGTATATTTGACATTAACAGCTCTGTGATGCGACTTAACAGTGAGAACAAGTTTAGCTCTAATGTTTATGCTGTTGCTAACAGCAGCTTAACAGATGTTGATTGAATAATTGTTGTTTATGTTAACGGTTCTGTATATGGAACAACAACTGTTAACGAATCAGCTGCTTTTAACAGCAGCATAACAGATGTTAATTACATAGTTTGATTTGTATGTTAACAGTTCTCTAAATATAACAACTGTTAGCGAATCAGCTGCTTTTAACAGCAGCATAACAGATGTTATTTACATAGTTTGATTTGTATGTTAACAGTTCTCTAAATGGAACAACAACTGTTAACGAATTAGCTGCTTTTAACAGCAGCTTAACAGATCTGAATAGAATAATTTGATGTTTATGTTAACGGTTCTGTACATGTAAGAACAACTGTTAACGAAGCAGCTGCTTTTAACAGCAGCTTAACAGATCTGAATAGAATAATTTGATGTTTATGTTAACGGTTCTGTAAATGGAAGAACAACTGTTAACGAATCAGCTTAGTTCTGCTCTGAAATGCCCTTTTTAAGCCAAACTCTCGTATGTGCTTGCAGCTGCCGATGCCCGATGTAACCACTGGACAAGTATTAGAATAAGGACTAGGATCAGACGACGCGGACAAAGCACCGACAACAACGACTTGGACTTGGAGTTAAGCAGCAGCAGTCGCAGCAGCAGCCGCAGCAGCAGCACTCTTGCTCTGCAGCAAGATGCCACGCTTTCGGAACGATGAGCTGGTGGAGACCCGGTACAAGGATGGCGACATTGTTTGGGTAAAGATACACAATTCGGAGACTTGGTGGCCCGGCGAGGTGACCTCCTCGCAAGACTTTCGCTACGTCAACAGCTCACGACGTCCATTCGCAGTCGTCGAGTTCTTCAATGAGCGAACTTTGTAAGTGCGCGCTTTTCGCCCGAAAATAAATAATCTAACTAATTTATTATCGTTCCTCCCTCTGCAGCGAACAGGCGAACACGGCAAAGGTGATTTATCCATTTCAATGCGAACACAAATCGGAATTCATCAAAATGGGCAACAGTGAGTAGCACATTCTATTCTTTTCTTTGCACTAGCCTTAACTTTTACCGCCATCTATATGTATATAAAAGATATATCTGTCATGACTGACCGATCAAACGGAAGAGGTTGCTTGTGTTATGGAGATGCGCGCTAAGACCTTGTTCGAAATTCCACCTGCAGCTGCGGAAAAGTCGTGGAAACGATTGAATGCGGCTTTCTTTAGGCAACGATGGGCCTCAAATTAATTTTCACAGATTTTTGTTCAAATTCCATTTGAGTGATTCACTCTTTTTGGAAATTTCACCGAGAGTTTCACACTTTTGGAAAATTTCACGCCTTCCTGTCGGAAATGGGCATCAACGATTTCGCTTCAAATTCTTTTTCAGGGAACCTTATGGAAATTCTCATGAGAGAGGTTTTCAGTTTGGATATACAAATGCGGTTCAAACTTGATTGAAAAAGCGCTCCGCATAGGAACTGTAGAAAGTACGTGGCTTGGCGATTTTGGAAATTTCACACGCAAATGTGAAAAATTGGCGAAAACTAAAACTTCAACTCAAAATTCGCCAATCGACCTCAAGCTCAGTTTCAAAGATCTCCATTTGAGGAATGTTTCACACTTTTCATAAATTCCACCGTTCTGCAACTTTCACGTGCCACAGTGAACTATTGGCGAAAGTTAGCTAAGGCTATGGCTATAGAGAAAATGTTTGCACGATTTGAAAAAGAATCGGAATGAAGTTAATATAGGAAATGTCCCGGGGAAATCCCGATTAATAACTGTGCATTATTTATCAGCTGTTGGGCGGGATTCATACATTCGACCGTAATTATTTTCACAAATTTAAAGGCACAAGACACAAATACATAAATAGAATGCTCCTCCTCCGCCTCCTCCCGCTACTCGATCTCCTCGAACTCGCGCAGGCCCAGAGGCTGCTCCAGATTGACAGCGGCAGACTCCTTCGTCGATGGCTGCAACTCTCCGGCAAAGTGGCCCGTCGTCGTCTCCAGGCCAAGGATAATATCGTCGGCTTCCCCCGCCGCCGCCGCCGCTTCAACAGAACCGGCAGGCGGCTTGAGCTTCCATCCGTTCGGCTCCTTCTGCTTGGCGCCCGCTGTGCTGCTGCTGCTGCTGCTCAGCCAGCGATGTCCACAGTAGATCATCAAGACGCCAGTCGCCAGGCCGCCGACAATGATGGGTCCGCTGTGGCGACTGCCCAACGCCTGCTGCAGCGGCGGCTTCACATTGTCAAAGATCGCCTGCAGGCGCAGCTGCGAGATGGCGCCCGCCGCGCTGATTATGTTCGTCAGGAAGCTGCCGGTGTCCACGCCGCCGCCGCCGCCGCCAGCGGCAGAGGCAGCGCCCGCACCGGCTCCTCCGCAGCCGGCGGCGCCGCACCAAACGGAACGCATGTCCTTGCAGCAGCAGCTCATCCACAACACACTGGACACGGATTCGGATAGCTCTTCTCTTTACCAACTCCACTCTGCTTCGGTTCTGCTTCGAAATTCCACCTTTGTCACCTTCCCTCCTTTCGTTTGTCCACTTTGCGGATTTGAATTCACATTAGGATTCCACGTCTCCTTTCTTCCACCTTCACTTACGGTTTTGGTATTTCGAGCTCAAACTTCTTTAGACTTTCCGTGCGATTTGCGTAGTTCTCTTCGTTCCTCCTTTCACCTTCTTTCCGGTTTACGTATTCGGTTTTCGCTGCTTTCCGTTTTCCACTTTGTTTTGCGTTTTCCGTTTTCAGATTCGCGTTCTCTTTTCGCCTTTCCTTGTCAGATTTCGATTTCGGCTTGGTATTTCTCTTCCTTTTCTTGTTCCACTTCTCGCTCTTCTTCAGCTTCTTCTCTCCTTCGTCCACGTTGGTTGGGGGAAAAAAAAAAAAAAATAAGAAATACGTACGCAATATTTCAATGGAAAATATAAAAAAAAAATACCAATTTAATATATATACATATATATAATATATTTTTGAGGAGCTCGTATGCTCGATATGAACACCACGAGATATAAAATAAATATGAGCTCTCCCAACCCAAAACGTTCGCTATGTGCTTCAATCCCCGTGACATTCATTAACCGGGCAACTCGATTCGGCAGCTGAGCAAAAGGGGGAATTTCGCAAAAAAAGGTTGCTTCGATTTTCGAATAGTGAAGATATAAACTTTGTGAGATAATCGCTTGAAGAGATGTCTATAAGATAATATCCTTTCCTTTTACAGTTTTGATTCGATTCGTGGAGCGAAGGCTTCTTCCAATGAGAGAAAGAAGTGCAAGTGGTTAAAAGAAAGTCCTCCTCCTATATTCCTTTATATAGATCTTTCAATCGGTTAAACGAAAGTCTTCAGTCTTCATAATCCTAAGAGTTAATTGAAATAAATTCTCCCGTTTTCATAATAACGATAAACACCGATTTGGAGCTATGATTATTTGAGCATAACTCGAGAAATATGAGAGCTAAAGACTCCGAACTTGTTATGCGAGTTGTTCTATAGTATACACAGCTTGAGAGTATATCATTTTTTAAATATATTCTCCCATTTGCCTCGGAAATGGAAGAAAAAGGCTTTTTTAAAGGTCGAACCTTGCGCTTGGGTATGCACACACTTTTTTGTGCTGTTTTCAAGACCTGAAAGTTTCATAAGGATCGGGCGGCGAGGAGTGAAGTTAAAGGAGGTTAGGACGCGGTGCCATAAACAGTGTGGTTCGAAGGGAAGGAGAAGAAGCGCAGCTGTGCTGTGCGTATCTGTGTGTGTGTGTGTGTGTGTGTGTGTACCAGAGCACTTTATTGATTGAAAATCGGATTGAATTGAATTTGATTTGTTGCTTACAGAAAAATCCGTGGCCCAGGAAATGAGGGACAAGTTCAACGAGGATGTTAAGTTCGCCGAAAATCGTTGGGCGGCCAACAATGAGGCTGAGGCAGCCGAAGCTCCTGCCGCCCGGCCCGAGAGCCTCATCAAGGCGCTGCTCTCGAGCAGCAGCAGCAGCAACAGCCTCTTCATCAACAACAACAGCAACAACAACAGCAGCAACAACAACAGCAGCTGCAGCAGCAGCTGCAGCCATTTCCTCAACAACAACAACAACAACATCAGCAACAACAACAACAACAGCAACAACAACAACAACTTCAACAGCTACTGCAGCAACTGCAACAACCGGACAATCAGCACAGTAAATACAGCAACAAGCACAAGTCCGACAACAGTTGGGCCAACAACATCCATACGAAATGTGAGTCCAAGTTGAGTTCAACTACATATATGCTAAATAGCTTAGAATAGAAGACTTTATACGCGGCAGAGACGACTCCCAAAGCCTGCTTCATGCAAGGCATAGTTAGTTGAACCGAAGATTAAAGCGATAAAGTTGTATAATTAGCTGCTATAGCCCAATTCCACTGTTCACATTACTTACATTTGTTTTGCGAATGTCACATTTTGTCGAATGTGAAAAATGTGGCCTTTACGATTTCCCATCAGAAAACACTTTTACTTTTTTTTTGTATAGCCCAATTCCACTGTCCACATTTCTTACATATGTTTTATGAATGTCACATTTTTGTCGAATGTGAAAAATGTGGCCTGACATTTTTCAAATATAAAAAATGTTGTCATTCGCGCCGAATAATTCGTGGCAAAGTTGTAAAATCAGCTGTTATAGCCCAATTCCACTGTCCACCATTCCTACATATGTTTTGCGAATGTCACATTTTGGCCGAATGTGAAAAATGTGGCCTGTACGATTTCCCATCAGAAAACAAATATTTTTTGTTATAGCCCTATTCCACTGTTCACATTTCCTACATATGTTTTGCGAATGTCACATTTTGGTCGAATGTGAAAAATGTGGCCTGTACGATTTTCCATCAGAAATCAAATAATTCCACTGTCGACATTTCCTACATACGTTTTGTGAATGTAACATTTTTGTCGAATGTGAAAAATGTGGCCTGACATTTTTCATATTTAAAAAATGTCGATATACGTCCCGAATAATTCGTGGCAAAGTTGTATAATTCACTGTTATAGCCCAATTCCACTGTCGACATTTCCTACATATGTTTTGCGAATGTCACATTTTGGTCGAATGTGAAAAATGTGGCCTGTACGATTTCCCATCAGAAAACAAATATTTTTTGTTATAGCCCAATTCCACTGTTCACATTTCCTACATATGTTTTGTGAATGTCACATTTTGATCGAATGTGAAAAATGTGGCCTGACATTTTTCATATTGAAAAGATTTCACATTTCCAACATTTGTTTTGCGATGCGTTTGCCTCGATTGAAGAACATTTAATTGAATTTTGTCAATTTTTTTTTTTGTACGCACGCAGGACTCGTCGATACGGATCATGGACATTGGAGCGCCGGCTGCTGCATATGCGCATCCGGAGGGACGCAACGATCAGAGATACGAGTGCAATCTGTGCGACTTTCACACGAGCAGCATGAACGTGCTGCTCATCCATCGTCGCACCCATGTGGAGCTCAGCAGATACGGCGGCGGAGGAGTTGGAGTTGGTGTTGGAGTTGGAGTTGGAGACGGTTGCAGCACAAGCAACAGCAGCATCTACAGCAGCAGCAGCGGCGTCGGCGTCGGCGTCGGCAGCGCAAATGTGCGTCAGCTGCTGAAGCACCAGCGGGCGACGCGCCGGGCCAATACATCGGCCAGCCGGGACACGTACTCCTCGTCGCTGTGGCGCTGCCAATCCCGTCACGTCTCCATTGTGGTCGATGCGCCGCTCACGGACGAGGAACAGCGCCAGGTCGCGAGCATAGCGCAGCTGACCTTGGCCAGCATTGAGCGTGTGGTCAAGTCGCCGACGCAGGAGCTGAACAGAGAGCGGGATCGGGATCGGGATCGGGCGCGGGCGCGTGCCCGAGCACATCTGCCCAGGTCGACAAGGGAGCGGGAGAGGGATCGGGAGAGGGAACGGGATAGGGAGCGGGATAGGGAGCGGGAGAGGGAGAGGGAGCGGGTTAGGGATCGGGATAGGGAGCGGGAGAGGGAGCGTGTTAGGGATCGGGATAGAGAGCGGGAGAGGGAACGGGAACGGGAGAGGGATCGGGATCGGGAGAGGGTGCGTCGACGGGAACACGAACGCGATCTGCAGACACTTGACAGCGAGTGCTCCGCCGCGCTGCAGCAGCATCGTCGCAGCACACAACTGATGAGCGCGCGGGATCCGCGCCGCAAGCGCTGCCATCAGCTGCGCGCAACGATGCCGGCGCCGCCGATGCTGCCGCCGACGCCGCCAACGCCGCCCAAGGTGCGTCGCCTGACGCGCTCCATCAGTCGGCAGCAGGAGCGCAGTCCCAGCTTGTCCCGCTCGGCAGCAGCCGAAACAGAAGCAGCAGCAGCAGCAGCAGCAGGAGGAGGAGGAGGAGGAGGAGGAGCTCAACTGGTGGCCTTGGTGTCGCCGCAAACGCCGCCGCCGCCGACGCCGGCGCCGAAGCTGACCAAGGCCAAGGCCAACAAGTCCAAGCTAAAGGGCAAGCCCAAGCCCAAATCCCAGCCCAATTTCACATCGACGCCAATCGTAAAGCGCGGACGCAAGCGTCACACAGAGGAGCAGCCGAAGACAGAGCTGGAAACGGATCGGGAACGGGAACGTGATCCAGTCAAGGGCGTGGCGGCCGCCTCGCGCGAACTGCAGCGCCGCCTGCTCGCCGAGTGGGGCGACTACGAGCAGGAGGAGCAGCCCGAGCTGATCAACAAGCAAACCAACGGACAGCCCGCCGAGGCGACGCACAAGAAGCAGCAGCAGCAGCAGCAGCTGCATCCCAAGCTAATGCTGCCACGCGCCCAACCGCAGCCGCAGCCGCAACCGAAACCGCAACCGAAACCGAAACCGAAGTGTACGGTGGAGGACTACGCCGAGGAGGAGGAGGAGGAGGAGGAGGAAGAGAGCTGTGAGCCCGGCCCGTCCGGCAAGATGCAGCTGGCATCCGCCTCGAGCTCATCCTCGGCGTCGAACTCATCGAAACGCATACGCAACATACCAAAGAAGGATCGGCGCGATGTCGTGCTCCAGGAGTTCGATACGGGCAACGAGCACAGCAGCGCTGCGCCCGAGGAGCCAATCATAATACAGGACAGCGACGCCAGCTCCAACGAGAGCGTCGTCTTTGTCGATTCCGCGGAGGAGCCACAGCAGCAGCAGCAGCAGCGGCGCCTGTCCAAGGTAGCTGGCCAATTTAGGGATCGCCAGGCCCAGGTCAAGGCTGGCGGCTCCTCGTGCTTTGACTTCGCCGAGGAGGATGACGAGGTGCATGCTGCACTGCAGCCGCCCTCCGCCCAGCCGGCGGATGGCCAAAATGGCCTCAGCTACAGGCGACGCACCAAGCCGCCACCGACGACGCTGACCAATGGCGACGAGAAGCAGCGGGAACGGGAACGGGCACGGGCACGGGCCGAGCTCGAACCGGAGCCGGAGGCAGAGCTGCAGCAGACGGAGCAATTCAAGGGCTTCAACGAGCAACAGCTCGTTGCCGAGGCCGAACTGGATGCGGATGTGGATCAGGAGCAGCTCAATCTGCCCAACAAAGATCGACAGAAGCGCATCTTCAAGTCGCGCAACAAATCCCAGCAGGCGGCAGCGGACGAGCCGCCGCCGTCGACGCTCGAGGAGAAGCCTTCAACGACGTCGGCAGCGTCGGCAGCGACGTCGGCAGCGACGGCAGCAGCGACGGCGGCGGCATTGGCAGCGTCTGTCTTCATGGAGCACCTGTTGCCGATGCACACGGAGCTGACGCTGCCGCCCCTCGATCCCAGGCTGTCGAATGGAGGCGGCGCCGGCGTCGTCGTCAACGATCCGAGGACTGAGCGACGACGTCGCAAGTCCAAGGCCAAAAAGAAGAAGAAAAACAACAACAGCGAGGCCGGAGCAGGCGGCGAGGTTGGAGCAGGGGCCGGCACAACCACCAAGAAGAAGAAGAAGAAGAAGAGCGGCGACGTGCCGGGAGAGGAGAAGACAAAGACGAAGACGAAAAGCAAAAAGAAAAACAAGGCGAGCAGCAAGAAGGGCCAAAGCTTGCCAGAGGCAAAGCCGCCACAGCCAACGCTGCTGCAACCCAAACGGGAGCCGGAGCCGGAGCCGGAACAGGAGCCGGAGCCGGAGCCGGAGCTGAGCACTGCGCAAACCCTGCGCCAATATCCAGTCCAATATCCACTGCAATATCCAGGCCAATATCCAGGCCAATATCCAGGCCAATATCCACTGCAATATCCAGTCCAATATCCAGTCCAATCCCAGATGCCAATCCACTCCCAACATGTCCACGGCCACGGCCACGCCCATTACTCCGGCAGCGGGCTGTTCTCGGCGGCAGCGGGAAGCAGCGCAGCGCTGCTGCACCTGAGCACGAACACGAACACGCACAGCATCCAGAGCACGACGACGACAAGCAGCTCCTTCCTGCAGCAGCAGCACAGCAATAGCAACAGCAACAGCAGCTCGATCACATCCAACATGGCCGTCATATCGGCGGAGGAGGCGCACGAGCTGCACCGTTCGGCGCCGGCGCTGGCCGAGGAGGAGGAGTCGACAACGGCGACCGAATCGAGCGCTGTTCTCATACTGGAGGACATACTGTTGCCCAATCTCTACGAGCTGCCGGTGAGGCGCGCCAGTTCCGATAACAGCAGTAGCAGCAGCGACAGCTTTGCCAGCAGTCGGAGTCAGCTGCGGGCCAGGCCGGAGGAGGAACGGGAGCGAGAACGGGAACGGGAGCGAGAAGAGGAGCGGGAAAGGGAAAGGGAACGGGAACGGGAGCGAGAAGAGGAGCTGGAACGGGAACGGCAACGGGAGCGAGAAGAGTTGGAGCAGCTGGAGCGGGAAAAAGAGGAATATGAACATTTGCGTAAACTGGAGGAGTCACCGCCGGCCACAAGCTCCTCCAGCTTGGCCAACAGCCAGCCCTCATCGCCGCTGACAGGCCTCCGTTTCGAGGCTAAACTAAAGAAGCGCGAACGGCAAATGCTCCGCAAATATGAGGCGGATATGCGGACAATCGAACGCAGCGCCGAAATCTGTCGCATTGCACGTCAGCGTTGGGCCTGTGCCCGCAGCATGCACAAACCGAACCCGGACGAGCGGGCGCATCTCCAGCGGCTGGAGAAGCTGCCGCTGCGTGCTCTGATCCGTTGGGGCAAGCGGGCCGTCAGCTTGCAGCCGTCGACGGAGCAGGAGCTGCTGCCGCTGGCAACTGTTGCTGTGCGCCCCAAATCCTGCATGGCGCTGGCCATGCTCCATGACGAGGCGGTGGTCGCCACAGCCAGGCGACAACTGGAGCAGCTGCGCGAGAGGCGACGCACTGAAGCAGCAGCCAGTTCCAGTCCGGAGTCGCGACGACGACGCAGCCGGCCGGAGCCGGAGCCGGAGCAGGAGTCGGAGTCGGAGCCGGAGGAGCAAGCACCCCAGAAGGAGCAGGTGGCGGAGGGTCAGCAGCAACAGGATGGCAATACAGAATCGCGCATCTGCGCCGTTATGACACGTCCGATACCCGGCTACAACAACACCTTCATGCTCTGCTCCCTGACGAACAACAACAACTTTACGCCGCTGAACAACGAGGCGCTGTATCTGGATAGCGAGAATCATTTGGTGCCCGTGCCGATGCAGGCATTGGCCGAATCGCCGCGCCTGCCCGACGGACATCCCTTGTCCGCCGTCTTTCTGCTCGAGGGCGAGGCCATGGCGCAGGTGGTCCAGCCGGAGCAGCAGCAGCAGCAGCAGCAGCAGCAGCAGCAGGCTGTGGCGGCGGCGGCGGCGGCAGCGGCAGCAGCGGCAGCAGCAGCGTCGCTCAGCGCTGGCCAGGAGCACCAGGAGGTGCCCGCCGCGGCGGCCGCCATGCTGGGCGGCATGATGACGCCCCTCAGCCAGGTGGCCGAGACGATGACGCGAGGCGAACCCGATCCCGAACCCGAACCGGAGGCTGACGAGGCCGAGGAGGAGGACGACGACGAAGACGAAGATGAGGATGACAACGACAACGACGAAGACGAAGATGAGGATGACAACGACAACGACGAAGACGATGAGGATGCGGATGCGGATGCGGCTGACGATGATGGGAATGGGAATGGAAATGGGAATGATCAGCCGGAGCAACGGGAGCAGCAACGGGAGCAGCGAGTGACTGTTGCTCCGCCGCCGGCGCACGGTGAGATCTATCAGCTGCAGTCGAATGTGCTGCAGCTGAGCGTGAATGGCCACCAGCTGGAGCTGACCACCGAGGTGCTAATGAACATAGCCGAGCAGCAGGACGATATTGTTATCGAAATCGATGGCGGCGGCCAGGCGATGCTCCATGCCAGCGACATTCTGCAGGCGGCCAAAAACTATCTGCAGGAGCGCGACCTCCAGCTGGTCAATCTCGAGGATATGGCGCTCAATGTGCAGCAGGTGGCGCCGCCGCTGCCGCCGCTGCCGCCGCCGCTGCCTACCGCGCCCCCGCCGCCCCCGCCAACGCCACCGCCGCCGCCGCCGCCAAATGATTTGCTGGCCGCGGCGCTCGCCGGCAGCGATGTGATCGACGCAGCCGTCGGACTGCTCCACATTGATACGCGCCAGCAGGCACTCGGCGTGGGCCTGAGCGTCGCCGCCGACGACGACGACGATGTCCCTTGGCCCTTGGCCGCGGCAACGGTGCACCTGACGCCGCCAATAACGGCGGCGCGAACAAACGAGACGAACGCTCTGCTGGATCAGACGCCCATCATGTCCACGCTGGAGACTCCAAGCAGCAGCAGCAGCGGCGGCCGCGGCGGCCGCGGCGGCGCTGCAGGGCTGCAGCTGCATCGGCGCGTCTCGCCGCTGATCGATGGCAGTCTGGAGGACAGTCTCGCCGTCATCGGTGTGACCAGCCATGGCAATGGCAGCGGCGTGCCCACATCTCTCGAGCTGCCCATCACGGTCACCAATCCGGCGATAGCTCCGCCGCGATCCGCTTCCGTCTCCGCCTCCGCCTCCGCCTCCATCACCGCCGATCTGGCCAAGTTTGTGTCGTTCCAGTAGATCGGCCTGGCAGGCAGGCAGGCAGGCAGTTCCGACTGGCGGCAGCAACTCCTCCTCCTCCAACTGGATCCTAGATCCAAGAATCCAACGGGATTTTTTTTTTGATTTTCGCTCTCTCTCTCTCTCCCTCTCTCTCTCGCTCTCTCTCGCTCAGCCAAAAAGTTTTTTTTTTTCTATTTGCCTTTTACATTGGAAATGTAAGAGACAATAAGTTAGCTTAAGTTTAGGCTAAGATAAAAAGAAAACAAAAGAAAGTGCAAAAGGGAGAGCGAAAGAAAGCAACAAAACAAAATGAAACTAGAAATTAAGAATTTCAAGCAGAAAGCTAAAAACAAAACAAAAATCCACAGACGAAAAATCGATATATAAATGTTTTATTTGAATAAGAATATATATATATAGCACCCATATGTGTATTAAGAAATCATAAATATATGTGTGTAAAGTAGGAAATATTCAGAAAACAGAGCGAGAGAGAGAGAGAGCGAGAGAGAGAGGGAGAGAGAGAGGGAGAGCAAGATGAAACTAATATTTTAATTTGAATGTTTCGCACCAAAGCAACTGAACGGAGTTAAATAATATTATAAATAATATTATAAATATATATAAATATGTATTTGACAAGCATAAATAATATACCACAATAATTATTATAATAATAATAATATATATATATCTGTGTGTGTATCTAGACATTTAAGAAAAAACATAAATTAAAAATCAACAACAAAAAACAAAGAAGAACGTGAAAAACGACATTTTTTTTTTCCCCGTATAAAATAAGTAAATGTCCTAAAAAACTAAAAAAAAAAAAGAACACATTTAAATGAAAATTAAATGTTTAAACAAATTCGAGAGTTTTGCAAAAATATATCTTTTGAGGCATTTTCAGGGCTCTGAACCAGACTTGGCCTTGGCTTGTTCGAAATACATCCTAAGTGGAACCAAACTTTGAACCGGATCAGTCACAAAACGAGCTCACAAAACGAGCTGAACATAAATCCAAAAGGGAAACAAATTATTTTTTATTCATTTCTATTCATTTTTAATGTTATTTGATTTAGTTCAAATTGATAAACTTATTTGTATATAATCGATCTATTTGAAAAGGAGCAAAAAAACGCTGAACAAAAGCTACGCTTCTGAGATAGATGCGCAAGAACAAGTTCACGAACCGCGAACCGTGAACCGAACCAATCAATTACTATACTTATTTTAAAAGAACAGGTTCCCGTGCCGTGAACCGAACCAGCCAACGGCCACGTGATATAATTGAGATGTTCATTTAAATGAACAAGTTCACGAACCGCGATCCTCAATAAGCGAACCGTGAACCGAACCAATCAATTAGTATACTTTTTCAAAAAAAACTGGTTCGCGTGCCGTGAATCATGAACCGAACCAGCCAACGGCCACGTGATATAATTGAGATAATCATTTAAATGAACAAGTTCACGAACCGCGAACCCCGAGAAGCGAACCGTGAACCGAACCAATCAATTAGTATACTTTTTTAAAAGAACTGGTTCGCGTGCCTTGAGCCGTGAACCGAACCAGCCAACGGCCACGTAATATAATTGAGATATTCATTTAAATGAACAAGTTCACGAACCGCGAACCCCGAGAAGCGAACCGAGCCAAGCGTGATGCATAAAATAAATATATTTCTTTATAAGAACAAGTTCACGAACCATGAACCGAACCAACCAACGGCCACGTGATGCATAATATAAATATATATATATAAATTATAACAAGTTCATGAACCGCGAACCTCAAGAAGCGAACCGTGAACCGAACCAATCAACTGGTGCGTGTTGTATAAAATTAATATATTTATTTAAAAGAACAAGTTCACGAGCCGCGAACCGTGAACCGAACCAACCAACCACGTGATGCACATTTAAGCTCACTTTTCTTAATTTTTATATAACAATTTTGTATTATTTGATTTCTACTCGACTTCTTGCAAGCTATCGATAAGAAAATGTTATCGTTATCGTTATCGTTATCGAGCTCGTTATCGCATTTGAAACGCGCTGGCGGAAATGCTAACGGTTCGCGCGTGTACCAGTTCCACGCGTTCCACGCGCTGGCATTTTTTTCTGTTGTTGAATTTCGAGCAATACGAAACGTCATATAATATTCGGAGATGATTTCTCTGAGGTGGCAACAGCAAACAATCAAATTGTGCTTTGACAGTTTGACAAAAAAAAGAAAAATAAACAAAAAAACAAACATAAAAGGCCAATAAGGAAAATAACACAGGGAATTGAAACTCGCCGGCAAAACGAAACTAGCTCCGAAAATCGAGAGCGTAGCGAACTTTTCAAAAAAAAAAACAAATAGACCGTTAGCAAAGCGATACGCCGCGAAGTGAGGTTAAGAAAGAAAGACAAAAGAAACTTGTTGAACTTCGCTTCGGAAGGGAACCTAACCAAAGCTGATCCGTGGCGGAGCACAAATAGATATATAAATAATATACATACAGAGAGAGAGAGAGAGAGAGCGGGAGAGAGAGAGGGAGAGAGAGAGGGAGCGAGGGAGCGAGGGCGGGGCGAGAGAGATGTCATCGGAATTAACGCCCCTGGATGCGGAAGACAATGCCGCCGTCGATATGCTGCTGGAGATTGGCGATATGAACAGCTGGGACATTAGCTGGGATCTGGATACGGACATAATGGACGTGCTGGATGTCGTCGAGGATGCCGATCAGCACGATCAGCATCCAAATGCTGCTGGGCCCGAACAGGACGAGCAGGAGCAGGAGCAGGAGGAGGAGGAGGCGGCGGTGGTGCTGCAGGAGTTCACGCTGATGGATGGGACGAACATCGATTGGCTGGCCGGTTCCGAGCAGGATCTGATCGAGCATATACCGCAATCGGCCATCATGGAGGAGTCGTCCTACAACAACATCGAACTGGAGCTGGCCGAGCTGGACGGCGCCGATGAAACGGACGACGAGCCGCAGCTACTGCATCTGCCCGTGCCTATGCCCGCGTCCGCGTCCGTGCCCGCGTCCGCCTGGAGCGTGGTGGCGCCTCTGACCACCAGCTCGACGGTGGAGGTGTTGCGTTTGTGCTTCGCCCGGATCGCTGGCAACGAGTATCGCATCTATGATGCGCTGGACAATGTCGGCTATCAGCCGACGGCGGGTCCGCCGCTGCTGATCAGCGAGCTGAGTCCGAAGGAGGGGCTGCTCGACGGGCTCCAGCTGCTGGATGGCTATGTGCACATCTTTCCGTATACGGAACTGCCGGAGCATGTCAAGCAAATGATCCAGGACGAGACGGGCGCCGATGTTGCCGAGCTGCTCAACAATTCCGATTGCCTGTTCGGCATCGATATCGTTCCGGACGCCGAATGGGACATCATGTGCGTCGGTCGTCGCGAGCGTGTCGCCATGGACTTTCGGTCGCAGATTGTGCCGCCGCACGAGCAGCACAGCGGCATCAATATTTTTGGTGAGGCGACACGGGTCTCGCTGACCATCTCGAATACGGAAATCGTGCTGGAGAACGAGGCCATTCTGGAGATGTCCCACCAGCCCGAAATCAACATATTCTTCTACGCCAACAGCAACAACATCTACGTGCTCAATGGACGCACTCTCTTCGAGAATACCGAGCTGGGCAAGCACGTCCTGCCCATCAATAATATCGATCTGATACCGATCTCGCCGCCTCACACCGTCTCCGTCGCCTGGGAGGCCAAGGAGTACTGATCCTCTGATCCGATCCTCAGCTGCTGTCCAGTCAATTATCGTACAAATATATTGTCCATAAATAGCTTAAATATACTCTTTACAAATCTTATTCCAAGTGCTATTTACTTGAATTGTGAATTGTCTAGTCAAGCTGTTTTTAGGTTAGGATTTCTTATACAGTCAGCACTCGCTAAGATGTTCCCCCATCCGCAACAAATACTCATTTGTGGTGACTCTTGAATGAAATAAAAATTAAGTAGGAATCAAAGACTTGAAAATGTATTTTATATCTACATCAAAGTGTTTTATTAAACTGATTGATTGATTGAGCTGTTGTTAGGCTAGGTTTTCTATACAGTCAGCACTCGCTAAGATGTTCCCGACTGACTCTTGAATGAAATAAAAATTAAGTAGGAATCAAAGACTTGAAAATGTATTTTATATCTACATCAAAGTGTTTTATTAAACTGATTGATTGATTGAGCTGTTGTTAGGCTAGGTTTTCTATACAGTCAGCACTCGCTAAGATGTTCCCGAATGCCTCCCGAGTGACTCTTGAATGAAATAAAAATTAAGTAGGAATCAAAGACTTGAAAATGTATTTTATATCTACATCAAAGTGTTTTATTAAACTGATTGATTGATTGAGCTGTTGTTAGGCTAGGTTTTCTATACAGTCAGCACTCGCTAAGATGTTCCCGAATGCCTCCCGAGTGACTCTTGAATAAAATACAAATTTAGTAAGAATCAAAGACTTGAAAATGTATTTTATATCTACATCAAAGTGTTTTATTCAACTGATTGATTGATTGAGCTGTTGTTAGGTTAGGTTTTCTATACAGTCAGCACTCGCTAAGAAGTTCCCAAATCCGCAACAAATACTCAATTGTGGTGACTCCTAAATAAGAATCAAAGACTTTAAAATGTGTTTTATATCTACATAAAAGTGTTTAATTCAACTGATTGATTGATTAATTGATTGATTGATTGATTGAAGGGCTATACACAGCACAAAGTCTTAGTCTTTTACAGTAGTTACCTTTAAGACGATTGCTTGTACAATTTCCTTATGTTAGAATTTTACGGAAAACTTCTATATGAAACTTTATTTTGTTTGTGTTTTACACTTTCGTTCCAATATTGTATTTAGCTTTAATTCTCGTCCAATTTGCTTTAAACTTATATTGAAAAGCTAGACATCACAAAAAGTTGAATACGCCTTTCACTGACGGCAGAATTCACCGCCTTAAACGGAAATTGGGTGGAAAAATTCCAAGGTAAATTCTCGTTGAATGAGCTTTAAATTCATTTTTAAAGCTGAAGATTACAAAACGATAAAAACGTGTTTCACCGATTTTGCAGAATTCACCGCTTTGAACGGAAATTAGGTGGAAAACTTCAATGTTAGATTTCCTCTCTTCAAGCTCATTTTCAAAGCTCGACATTACAAAAAGTTGAATACGCCTTTCACTGACGGCAGAATTCACCGCCTTGAACGGAAATTGGGTGGAAAACATTACAATTTTCGTAAGAGCTAAAATTTGGCATGTTATAAATTTTTTGATTTCGAAATTTCATCCAAAATGGGCAACTATCAAATATGGTTAGATAAAGCCAATAGATGGGACCCTAGTTTTTATTTTTATTTTAATATATAATACATATAAATATATATGTATATATTGTATGTTAATCAAGAATTAGCTTTGAGCGGAGCTTTTGCAAAAGATTTAGAAAAGTAAATTTAAGAATTCGAGAAAAAGTTAATGTCAGTTCTTACTTTAAGGCCAAAACATTTTCAGAAACTTCAATATAGCTTCGTTTTTCGCTAGAAATTCGTTTGGATCGGTTCTTTCTGAAAAAAAATAAACTGGATTTTCTGGTTCGAACCGGTTCGGTTTGCTGCAGTCTTGATTTTTAAGCCTAGTCATGAATTGAAATTGTTTACAATTTTAATTTCTGCCAGTTCAACTTGCCGAGTGCTCACTGTACAGAATAAAAGCATTAAGAAAAGATGGCCAGGAATAAAGCATGTTTCTTTTTAATGTATTTTATTGAGTTCTCAACAAATTGCATGACATTTGCCTGTTTGCAATTACGGTACGCTTAATTATCAATAACAATTTGCAATTGAATTAATTAAATGTTCAATATGCGATTTTCTTTCATTTTGTTTTTAATTCGTACGCTGCTTAGTTTCAATTATAATAATTATTATAATATTATTATTATTGTAAACAAGTTTGTTTTGTTTTCTTTTTTTGTTTGTTTGTTATGCACTCAACTTTCGGCTTGACTTTGATTCTAATAAATGTTGTGTGTGTGTGTGTGTGTGTGTGTTGTTTGTTAGGGATTTGTTGTTCTTTACAATTTGTTTAGCTACACATCTTTAAACATAACACAAGAGGCACAAGAATAAGAGATTAAAAAGAGTAGAAAAAAAAAATGAGGAAAAACATTCTAAACACAATAAATAATAATTAATTACAATTACTTTTCTGGCATATATGTATTCTATATATTATAAATCATAATGGAACAATCGTTGTTATTGCTTATTATGTTTTAATAATTGTTTTTGTTTTTGTTTTTTTTTTTCTGGATGGCGACAAATAAATACTTGACTGTACGCTTACGACCAAGTCAAATTCTTGAGCTAACAAAATTTGTAACATGCAATGCTTTTTTTTTGGTTTTTTGTTTTTGTTTTTTTTTTTGGGAGCGGGGATCTCAGCGAATTCAATTGATTCGATTATAATTGATGTATTCGAACATAAAAATACTTTGGGGGTGCTTAGCTCTTATTCGTTTTTGTTTTGCGCAAAAATATGAATTAACTAAAATGAAAATTAGAAACTGTCGGCTTAGTTTTGTGAGTGTTTGTTGTTGTGAGTGTTGTTGTTTTAGTTGTTGTTGTTTGTTGTTTGTTGTAGTTGTAGTTGTAGTTGCTATTTGGTTTGAGTAGCGAGTGTCTTGTTGCATTAAACGCAGTCAAGCTGCGTCTCTGGTTGTTGTTGTTGTTGCTGTTGTTGCTGTTGTTGCTGTTGTTGCTGTTCTGTTAAAACACTCTGAACGACTGCGTCTGCGTATAGTGGCTGAGGCGGCACATTTATAGCTTGGAGCAGATCTCGTTTGTGAACTCGGAACACTTGGCCTTGCCACCAAGATCGCCGGTTAGATATTTGCCTTCCGCGATGGTGGCAAAGGCGGCTGCCTCAATTTTATCGGCATACGAATTGAGCTCCATGTGACGCAGCATCATCACCGCTGATAGCAGCAGGGCCGTGGGATTGGCCAGATCCTTGCCAGCAATGTCGGGCGCTGTGCCGTGCACAGACTCAAATAGAGCACCATTCAGACCCATGTTGCCCGATGGCGTCAGGCCAAGACCACCGACCAGACCGGCGCACATATCAGACAGAATATCACCATACAGATTGGGCATGACCTATTGGTAGATCAGGTGTTATATAAGCATTGAAAATTGTTAGAGCTGCGTTCGAGCACTTACCAGCACATCGTATTTGCCTGGATTCTGCACCATGTTCAGGCACACCGTGTCCAAGTAGCGCTCCTCGAACTGAATTTCGGGATACTTTTGCGCCGTCTCGCGCACACAACGCAGAAACAGGCCGTCCGACATGCGCCTGCAAAGGATTATATAGTTTAGATTAGTTGTTGCTTTTGGGGCCAAGCTGCCGTCTCCAGCTTACATAATGTTCGCCTTGTGCACGACGGTCACCTTCTTGCGATTGTTGTTTTTGGCATATTGGAAGGCGTATTCGGCTACACGCCTGGAGGCATCCTCGGTGATTAGCTTGATGCTCTGGACAACGCCATCGACAATCTCGTGCTCGATGCCAGAATACTCGCCCTCGGTATTCTCGCGAATGGTCACCACATCGACATCGTCGTAGAGCGTCTTGTAGCCAACCAGACTGCGGCAGGGACGTACATTGGCATAAAGATTGAACTCCTTGCGCAATGCCAAGTTCAGCGAACGATGGCCCTTGCCCACGGGCGTCATTAGGGGACCCTTGAGGCCAATCTTGTTGGTGTTAACCGAATCGATGGCCGCTTGGGGAATGCCGAATTTGCCATCGGGACCCTGTACAAAGCGTAGAAAAATTTGAAATTCGGATTTAAAATTAGCATGGCGTTGCCACCTGGGTAATAGTTAACTACGTTTCGATAAGTAAATTATTTTTACTGCTCGCTGGCAACGCTCACTTATTGATAAGCGTTGCCAGCTCTTTTTGTGCGCCTTGATTTAAAAGAAAAACGGAAAACACTGGAAAATACTTACACGAACGGGCGTCACATCGACAGCTTCCCACTCGATGGGCACTTTGGCGGCAGTGAAAATCTTTTGCACAGCAGCAGAGATCTCTGGACCAATGCCATCGCCGGGTATAAGCGTTACCTTTCTGACGCCGGACGCATAGCCGCGGCTGGCAGCGGGCGTTGTGTTGACCTGCAAGCAATTTCAAGAATTTAATCAATTAAATCATAACAGACAACACACAACAATAACAAATAGTAACAACATATATGCAAATCGAGCAATTATCAGGTTGCCAGATGTCTGATTACATAAGCGACATCATCTCGCGCATGCAAACGGCATAGACGGCGGCGGCGCTGCAACCGTGCGTTGAGGTTAGAGCACACATCTGGCAAGGCGGTCAGGCAGGCAGGCAGGCAGGCGGCAGAGTGTTGCCATCGCTTTTTATGCAACCCGTGCGAAATAGGTAGTGATAAGCAAAAGAATTAATTTACGATGGAGACGCTTCCAAAAACAAAGAATATCTGATCAGCATTGTTGTTGCTTAGCACCTTTGGCGAGATAGGCGCACAAGGCAAAAACCCCCCGGCCCATCCGGCCGTCGGCCACCACCGATCATTCGTGTTATGTAAAAGTAGCTTTTGGTTCTATTTTTTTCTTTTTTTTTGTCTGCCTTTTGCTGTGTATTCTTATTGTCGCAGTGGCGCTTTACTCCTGCGGGCAGCTGAGCTGTTGTTTTTAAAGTGCACGCACCTTGGCTTTAAATGTTGCTCCGGCCAAGGCCGTTGACTCTGGCGCCGCATCACGCGCAGCCTGAAAACCCAATTGCTTGAGCTGCAAATTTTTTTTTTCGTTTTTGCGTAATGTTATTGTTTGCACGTTGATTGGTTGGTTGGTTGGTTGGTTGGAGGGTTCGTTGCGGGTGGTTTTATTTGAAAAACAAAATCAGAATGTTAGTTTTAGCTGTATTATTAGTTTTTTTCGCCCCCCCTCGTTAGAAGGCCGCACGTAATCAGAAATGGTCAAATGTTGCTTGGGGCGCGGGGGAGTAGGCGGTGTTGCGAAAGGGTTGGCAATCGCGGCACACAATGTTTGCTTGTGCTTAACTGGCAAGCTGTTAATAATATTGTTATACTATTATCCTTTGTATTCTTACAATTCTCTGTATAAATCTAGCAGCCATTGCGTTGCGTTTGGATATTTGCACTCGGTTATTTCACGTATAGAAAAAAATTCGACCACTCGCACGTCTGAGACTTTACTTTGCGCCCGCTGTATCGCCACCTAGCGGAAAACTGGCGAATGTAGAGCAGGACCGATACGCACGTTATGGCTATCGAGCATGCTGCAAGAGTTGCCACATCCAGTAAAATGTCACATGTTCAGAAATATAAAAATGTTGGGTTTTCCAAAACAAAAGAGTTTTCTTGGTTAAATAGCTACAAGCAATGCTTATAAATAATTTAAATATTTGAAAATAAAAAAATAAGTAATTTATGTTTTAAATGTGCATCATATTTGCATATTGTGGCAACAATTACAAAAACAAATTCAGTGAAATATTAGTTTTGAGTTACAAGCAAATAGGGTTTCATAGCACAATTTGAAGGTTTACAGTAAGAAAATTGTTAACATATTCAAAAATAGTTGTAAATTAGTTGCTTGATCGCTACATGTTGCATTGGCATCGTCAAGCAAGCAAATCGATACCGCTGCAGAAAAATATCGATAATATCTTTTGCAACGTTGCGTGTTACAGCCACAGTTTAAATTAATTTCGGCTCTTGCGTAGATTTTAAGCCATATTACATATAATATCTATGTAAATTAATAAACGGTGTTTAAATAGAACGCTACAATATTTGTAGGCACTGTTGCGGTTAAAATTTCTGTGCTGTACCTAACGCACATCTACAAAATTACCGACCAACGAGAGACAAAGCTACGCTACGGTCGTAACTGGCAAAGTGCACTGTGAACGGCCAATGCAGAATTGTCATACGCGAGTTTTTTTTCGCGTTCAGTTTAGGTTTTAGTTACCTGCGCGCAACAACCCCGTCGCCTTAGCCGTTGTGCTTGCGTCCTGCGTTTCCAAATCGAAACTCGAAACAAAAATTCCAAACGCTGCGACCAAATGTGTGCACTGCATGCTTACCGATTCTGCTGCGCGTTGTAATTTGCTATCAAATCGTGTAAATACATAAGCGAAAGCATCCGCAGCAGCAACGCTTATACCCCGCGTATTGCTTTAGTGAGGCGCGCGTCTTTATTTTAACTTTTTTTTTGTTGGCTCTGCGAACGAGCCAACGGGCAGCATTAAAGGTAAGCTGAAAGTGTATTGAGTGTTTTTTACGTGTTTAAAATGTGCACCTCGCAATGCATCTCAGCTGCTTGGGCCAATAAACACGCACGCACACACTCGCATCTCTCGCACACGGGCACACGCGTGAATACACGCGCGCACACACACACACACATATGTATAATTATATATATATACATATATATATGCGGGGCAGCACACGCACAAATACAAATGTATAACTGTGCTTGACAGCACACACTACACGACGACGGTCGTTAACGACAAAGTGCGACTCGTAACCCAGCTTGCCTACTTTGCTCAAATGCGCTGCGAACGCTGCCGAGTTTCTATTTAATATCATTTTTTGCTTGGGTTTTTTTTCCGGATTTTTTTTTTCTTTCCGAAGAATTCTGTGTGCTGCCTTTTGTTGAGAAGCTGTGTAGGAATAAAAAAGCCTTTTTATCTTTTGTGCCCAATTCGGTTTTGTGAGGTGCATTGGATAAATAAAAGATAAAAAAAAAAATTTGTTACCTTGCATTTGCAGTTGCTCCTCGGCTTGGCCGCTAAAAATAATTTCGAGAGACGAACGGTAGCATAATTATCGGCACGCTGGAGAAACATAATAAACGCTCGCAGCTCATACGCGACAAAATGGTGTTGTCCGAGCGCAACACCAGCGACATTGTGCGCAATGGCCGCCGCTCACGTGGACCCAGCCCCAATACACATACAAGCGGCGCTGGCAGCGGTGGTGCTGGCCATGGCCACAATTCTGCCACCGGCATGGGCGGTGGTGGCGGCGGCGGCGGCGGTGGCGGCGGCGGAGCCGGTGGCACAAACTCCACTGGCAATGAGAAGGGCACAGCTAACGTACCGGGTGCCGGCACACCGGAGAGCTCCGACGATGATAACTGTGAGTGTAAAGATTATGAACAGATATATATACAAACATATTTATATTGTTTAATTCAAATTGAAATTTTGTTTCCTATTGATCTCCATACAGCCACAAAACGGAACGGCAAATCCAAGGCAAAGCAGTCGGAATATGAAGGTAAGACAATTCTCAACCCCAATCCCCACAACAATGTGCATAGCTAATCCCCTGTTCGTCATCAGAGAAAATACGCGTTGGACGCGACTATCAGGCGGTGTGTCCACAGCTGGTGCCCGAACCGGATCGCCGTCCGGAGCTGATGAACGAGCGCGCCTTGTTGGTCTGGTCGCCCACCAAGGAGATACCGGACATGAAGCGTAAGCCCATATACATACATATAACTAAAAATCTATATGCATAACTGATGTAATCTTCACGTAAACCGACGACCAGTGGAGGAATACATTTCGGTGGCAAAGGAGAAATATGGCTACAATGGCGAACAGGCATTGGGCATGCTGTTCTGGCATAAGCACGATCTGGAGCGTGCGGTCATGGATTTGGCCAACTTTACGCCGTTCCCGGATGAGTGGACCATCGAGGATAAGGTGCTATTCGATCAGGCATTTCAGTTTCATGGCAAAAGCTTCCATCGCATACGCCAAATGGTAATTATTGTTTGTTTGTCTATATACATATATTTCATTTAATGTATATATACCCAACTCTCGTGCCCGGATAGCTGCCAGACAAATCGATAGCCAGTCTGGTGAAATATTATTATTCGTGGAAGAAAACGCGCCATCGCAGCAGCGCCATGGATCGTCAGGAGAAAATGATAAAGGCGGCCGTTAAGGATGGATCCGAGAACGGCAGCGAGGTCGGCAGCAATGAGGAATCCGATAACGATGACAAGGTAATTATCAGTTAGAACTTAGCACAACCAAAAACAACAACAACCAAAAAAAAAAAAAAAAACAATAACGACAAGAAAAAATGAAATCAAGACTTCCACTCCTCCGACACCCTCCTATTCTCCATTCACCATACATATACATATATACATACATACACACATACATACATACATACATCTGCATATACATTCACATATACATTCGCATAACTCATCATCAGCTCAGTTCATACATGCATAAGTACTACATGCCGAGAGATCTCCATTCACGCTCATCCACATACACACACAAATACAGACACACACACGCACACACACACACTGTTAGCTAATCTTAGGGCTCTTGCCACACCCACAAGTCTCACGTTTTTACAAAATGTCCGCTGGCTTTCCCATAAACGTTCATATATATGTATGTATATGTATATCTGATTGATGTGCTTGTACCATATGTTTATATCGATCCCAGTGCACAACATAATCGTTGTCCAACACTAATCATATGAGGTTTGAAAAAAGAGTTTTTTTTTCTTTCTCTTTTTAAGGAATTGTTAAAGAAGTTTTGTTAATTGGATAATATTTTATAGAGGTATTCCCTGTTGAATATACTAGAAATGTTAGGAACTGATTTACAGTTATCTAGGTTTTCGACTATATCTATTCAGAAGATAATGAGAGGATCATTCTGGCTAGTTTTAGTTAAAATTATATAATTTTTTAGTTCAAATATATAGTATTGTATTGATAAAGAACAAGAGTTTCTAGAGACAGAAATAAATCTATATATATATATATATATATAGAAGCATACTATCTGGCATATAATACAGAAAGAAGTTTAAAAGATATTGCACCAATATAAAAAGAGGCATTTTGAGATCGAATTTCAAATGATAGATAGGAGAATGTATAAAAGATTGCGCTTGAGGAAAGTTATTTCCTTTTTTGTAAAGGGCATCATTTATTTAGGATATATTACAGAAAGTTTAAAGAGCAATATGCATGCATATCGATTTTCTATATACTACAGAGGATTAAGGGAAAAGACATGCTGAAATTCATGTATAAAAGAAAGTATTCTTTTCGATAGATAATAGTTTATATAGCGAGGTAATAGAAAAATTAACAGATGAACTGAATAGTCCTTAATGCATACATAGGGGTACTCCATAGATAGTCCTTAATGTATATAGAGGTTAATGCTCTAGAGTCCTTAATTACCCTGCTCCGTTTATAGTTGGTTTCATGGATACTTAGTACAGTGTATTATTAGGAGCTTTTTATAACTAGGAATAGATAACAACTTGACAGAGTTACAAAAGATTGCTCTAGATAGCTGATAATAAGTTAAAGTAATAATAACAAAACTTGTCACGAGCAAAGTGAAACAAGTTTTTCAGTTCTATAAATAGAGCTTGTGCATTTCATTCGTTCAGTTTCCGAAAAGATTCTTTGACGATTATTTTATGTTGCGGGATCGATAGGCATGTTTCCAAATACTTACGTTCAAGAACTTAACGACGCCGTGCAACGCCTCAAGCGTGGTACAGGTGTTCTATTTTTAGAAAAACTTAACGAAACTGCAATCTTGACAGCTGACGTTTTTGGGGGGCGGCGCAGTGTTGCATTTGGAAAGTGACAGCAACAAATTAACAGTTGTATATGTATGCATGGCCTGTATGTTTGCCTGTGTGTGTGTGTGTGTATATATGTTTGTAGTGTGCGTGTGTGTGTGTGTGTGTGTGTGTGTGTGTGTGCACAGTAGAGCAAACAGTATTTGCTTGAGAGCAAATTCTTAAAGGGTTGAGCAAAGCAAATCGGCCGGAACGTATACCAAACATAATCTGAAGACTATATATAAATTTGATATACATATAAGCAATTTGTCGTGCTCCACAATGTGTCTGATTAGTTATAAAAACTGAACTATGAATATACAAATTATATATATGTATACACATATATTATTATGATTATGATTACAATTATTTGTATTTGTATTTGTCTCCAAATATCGCATAAGACTTAATTAAGGCTGAAATTCGTGTACGATACGCATAAAACAGTAAAACTATCTAACATGGAATACATATAACTAACTGATCCGTCAAGGCGTCTAATTGTTGGTTCGGTCTGCTCTAGATTAAAATGGGCCAAAGTTTAAGTTAGAGCTGTAGAGATTTTAAGGTTTCTATATCGTAGTCTATAGCATGTAGCTTAAGATCGAATAGTTGTATGTGTATATTTGCTATGGCATTGCTAGCACAATTGCTTCCTCTTTTTTATCGGGGATATTTCTTCTCTTCTTTCTCTCAAAAACTCTGCATATGCGTTAGATATGTATATACCCTAACGGGCGTAGTTGGTTCGATTAGTTAAGTCGCGGGATTCAAGCCCATATGAACGATGATATAGATATTGTAAAAAATATGGTTCAATATTTTTTCAGATAATCGCCGTGCCTGCATACCTCTCATAAGAACTTAAAACATAAACAAACACACACAACACACACACACACACACAACCCATACATTCAGCTAATTTGTATGTGTCTTATGCCAAAACCAAAACATTGACCAGCATCTTTTCGACTTTTCGAATCTAATCTACACATAAAGAAAAAAAATGCGCATATTTCTAATACAGAAATATTTCTTTTTTTTCTCTATGTTAAAATTATTAATTTTTTTTTTTTTTTTTTTTTAATGATTTTATATTAAGTCTATTAAGAAATCAATGCGCGTGAATCTAGACGTAAGGCAAATAGACATTTTGTTCTTTATTTATATATAGATTATATATATATATATAAATATATATAGAGATACATATTTTTTTACGAAAAGCGAGTATTAAACTAAATTATTATATAGTACATATATGCTAGTAATTTATAAATAAATCGAGTACTAATTTAATGCTTTTATGTATCGAAACAAAGCACAAACAGTATATCCCAAAATTATACATACACTTATAGTTATACTACATATATAGAAAGATATAAATAGAAAATAGAAAGAAAAAAAATAACATGTTGATAATAATGATGACGATGATAATGATAATGATAATGATGATGATGATGATGATGATGATAATAATGCTGATGATAATCACACACGTAATGCTAATAAATTTCATATCTTGTTTGCAAGAAGATTAAACAAAAAAAAAAAACCAACAATTTATATGTGTTTCTTATTCAAAAAACTTCAAATCGAATCAAGTTCAACGAAAAAAAAAAGAAAAAGAAAAGAGTTTCTAGTTTTCTTTTTCGTATCCCTTGGTTTTCGATATCCAGAAACATGCGCATACAAGCAAAGTACCGTTACGCACACACACACACGCACACCCATATACACATACATATACCTCTGTAAATATATGTTGTATATGACGCCTACAACAAATCGGGATCAGACTTAACTTTGCTAAATTCAAGTATTCTTTCATGTCATACACTCAGACACACACACATACACACACATACGCACACACACATAGACAGAGACACAGACACACATACGCATACGCATACGCATACGCATACATCTCACACTTATGCCCACATGCTTCCCGTAATCGCCCTGGTATATAGCTAACTGAATAAACACTATACTAATTACTGTTAGTCGTATAGTTATATATCCTAATGCATTATCACATATGTATATGTAGACTGATTGTTGCATATGATTTAATTTTAAGTTTTATTATTATTATTATTATCAATATTAATTGGTTTGTGCACTGATCGGAGCTTTATTTTTGTTTGCCCCAACCCCCTACCCATATATATATTTATATATATATATATATATGTATATATACCCCGCCCCACCCATAAGTTTTTATAAGTTGACCTTGTTCTTTACTCCGTTACTCGTTGCAATTTTACTCGCTACAATAACTGCTCGTTATGAGAAAAAATTTCGTTGCATTTGGCCGCTTAATCGTTGCGAGCACTCGCTACGTTTTACTCGTTACTTTTTCAAAGCTAACTCGTTGCGAGCACTCGCTACGCTGCAATCGTTACTTTTTCAAAGCTAATACACCAAAAGCTAACATTCTCTGGTTTCATTTGGATCTAAGGTGAAATTTCAATATTTTATTTTAAGCACATACCAATTAAAAAACAAACACACAAGCACACACACAAAAACAAACACACACACACACACACACACACACACTCGAGCAATGCCAACGCAACTTTTGTCAAAGAAAAAGAGAGAGCGTGAGTGAGAGAGAGAGAAATTCCCTTATTTAAATAAGAAGAAAAGAGTGCAATAAAATGAAACAGATCTACACCAACAAATCTTGTATATGTATGTGTGCTACACGCAATTGTGCATAAGCATACAAACTTATACATATATATAATAAATATATGTACATATATATTTATATGTATGTATCTGTATGTATGTGTATAAATATGTATATGTATAAGCATAGCGTCTGAGCTTGTTGCAGTGTGGAACATTTGGCCCGTTAGTACAAAAACAAAAAGTCCCAAAAAAAGCAAAACAAATAAATATCCCATTCGATTTTCAAATACCGAACAAAACGCAAACAAAAACGCAAAAATACCCAAAAAAAACAAACACATACACTATACACGTACACACGCGCACACACATATACACACGCACACACACACACATACATAATCATGCGCCTTGCAGTCCAGAAAGCAGCAGAGCGAGTTTTAAAAATCAATTTGAATTAAACAAAAAAAAAAAATATATATATATATGTATATGTATATATCAACCAAGACAAGTTCAATATGTTGAAGAAGAAGCACATGTAGAGAGTTAAAATTTTGTTTGATCTTCGATTGGGGTCGAAGGAGGGGGAGATGGTTGGGCGGGGGGGCTGCTAGCTAGCGTGGGGAACTACGACGACAACAACAACAGCAACAACAACTACCTCTTAAGTGTTACCAAGTGAACTAAAGCAAAAACCAACAAACTGTTTTTTTCTCTTCTCTTTGCATTTACTGTCAAAATAAACCAACACACACATTCACAAAAACAAAAAAAACAAAAAAACCTTAACACAAACTGTCCGCAACTGACGTTATAAAAACCAACGCATACGATCTATAATAACGTACCGTACGATCAAAAATCAAATCGAATTAATTAAAAAAAAAAAAAAAAAAAACAAAATGAATTCGCTTGCTGCTGCTGCTATTTGCGACTGCGTTGGCATTAACCACCATTCATGACCCTCAATAAAACCAACAACTAAAACTTACGGCTGGGCAGAGGGCGAACAACAACAATTCCACGATGAACAACAACAATAGCGGCAGTCACAGTAATGCTGGAACGCCTGGAAGCAACGGTAACGGTAACGGCAACGGCAACGGCAACGGCAACGGCAACGGCAATGCCAATAGCAACAGCAACAACAGCAACAACAACAGTAACAGCAACAGCAACAGCAACAGCAATGTAACTGGCGACAGCAACAACAGCAGCGGCATCGGCATCGGCATCGGCATCGGTGGCGGCAGCAGCAGCAATAGCAACAGCAACAGCAACAGTAACAGTAACAGCAACAGCAACAGTAACAGTAACAGTAACAGCAACAGCAACAGTAACAGCAACAGCAACAACAACGATCTGGACGCCGATCAGCTGTGCATCTATACAAATGCATTGGGCGAAGATATGCTCGGCTTTGGCCTGCCCGGCTTTGGCCTGTCTATCGATAACGGCGGCGATATTGATAACGATAACAACAATCCAAGCGGCGGCAACAACATTGGCAACACTGGCAGCAACAGCAATGCACGACGCGTCGTTGTGGGCGGTTTTTGCAAAAATTGCAACGTTGTCTGCTACATTTTATTCGATTCGCCATTGGGGCGCATGTGTAAAAGTTGTCACACGCACTGGAGGTAGATATTCCCATAAAATATTTAAAAAAAAAAACAATTAGCAAGAAAACAACTACAAACTCTAGCTAAATATGTTGTTAAATCTCCAAAAAGCTAATGCTAAGTTTTTCTCTCTCTCTCTCTCTCTCTTCCACTTTCTCTCTCTTTGAACCCGTACAAAAAAAAAAAACAAAAAAACAAACGAAAAATGATGTTGCATAACTTTTGACCAACAAAATGTCTACACACACACACACACACACACACACACACACACACACACACACACACACACACACACACACGCTCACACACATTCGCATTCATTTGCTGCTTGTGTCCGCCTTCTCGCCAATCCTTTCTCCCTTCATCCATACACCCGCACAAACGCCAACCCCCTGCACCGCGCACTGCGCTATTTTGCTGGCGGCCTGGCCACAGACGCACCGGCAATCGTCGTCCCATCTCCGGCCCGGACAGCATTGCACCCACAAAACGTTCCACACACAACAGCGCCGCAGCGGCGGCGGCGGATCGATCCAAGCGTAAGCCGCCACGCGGCATGTACATCAATCATGATGATCTCACCGCCTTGGCCGGATGCAAAAATCCGTGTGAATATTTAGCCGAAGGCGATCGTAAAATTGCCGCCCTCATGGCAGAAGTAAGAAATGTAATTTTTATTTATATTCATCATCTTTTTTGTGTTTCGTGTTTTCCGTCCAACTTCTTGCATGTCCCTTTCGTCTCTACTATTTTTTGTTAACTGGAATGTTAACCTCAAAGTTTTCACATTCCAGTTATCAACGATCAAACCAAAGAGTTAAACAAACTAAGGCTAGTTCTTCGGGAAGGGGGGAACTCTAGAAGCCTAGAACTCTTCGAGTAGAATTCTATCTCTCTCTCTATATATATATATATCTATTTTTAATTTAACTTAAATATGTCTTTTTTTTTTTTGAGACATTTTTCTGTAAAGCTTTTCAGTTGGTAGTTTTTATACAAAAAGAAGAAAAGCTGAGTATATTGATTGGTTCAAGATTTGTTTCTCAGCTACAGGGTATTAAGGGGCTTCATCATTTCTGTTATGTAGCTTAGCTGGGCGTATTGGCTTGCACGTGTTTTGTTTTTGTAGTCGTTGTTTATGTCACTCACCCAAAGAAACGCACACGCACACGCACACTCACACGCACACATGCACACTCACTGCTGCACACAAGCACACACACACACACATAGACACGCACACACAGAGAAGCGACAATACGGAGACGTTAACGACCCACGGACCAGACCCAACGCCCCCGATTGACATATTGGATTAAATGCCCGACGGCCCATTACAGATCCAAAAGAATAGGCAAATGATGGAGCAACTGGAAAAGGATTGCAGCGATGGCAACGTGGACGATAGCAGCCCCAACGGAGGAGGAGCCGCCCAAAAGACGACAACGACGACGACGACGACGCCCAGCAGCACGGAGACAGCCGCTGCCCAGCCCCGCATCACGGCACGCTGGACCTCCGATGAGATTGAAGTGGCACTGCTCGCCCTGCGCGACTATGGCAAAAACTTTCCGGTAAGTGGCCACAAAGAGAATATCTTCCCGCCCGACTCGACTTTTATAATGTGCCGCCAATTTGCTTTCCAGATGATTGCCAAAGTCGTTGGCACCAAGACGGAGGCGCATGTGCGCACCTTCTATGTGAGCAATCGTCGACGCTACAATCTGGATCAGATTGTCAAGGAGTACGAGGCCAAGTCTGAGGACTCCAACATGGAGGAGCAGTGCGATGCGGCTCCAGCAGCTGCCGCCGCTGCGGCTACAACTGGCAGCACTGCTGCCGCCGCAGTCGCAACAGCCACCGCTGGCAATGTGGTGGATGGCAGTAAATCGGCGGCCAATGAGACAAGTGACGCCACCAGCCAGGAGCTGGCCAAGAAGGAGGAGCCGGCCAATGCCAATGCCAATGCCAATGCCAATGCCAACAGCAACAGCAACAACAACAACAACAACACTACAAAAAAGAAGCCAGAACTGATCAATGCAGCAATCGCTGCACTCAAGAGCAGCGAGAGCGCCAGCTCAACAGCCGCCGCTCCACTGACGGCTGCACTCGCTGCAGCAACAGCTACTGCCACGGGTACTGCCACGGCTAATAACGGTGCTGCTGCTGGGGCGGCGAGTGTCAATAAATCGACTATGGCGATTAGTGCGCCAACCATAACCATTGTGGATGAATCGGACACGGCGACCAGCTCCAGCAGCGATTTGACAAACAGCAACAATATGGCGCCAGCGACTGGCAACTCGCTCTCGTCGCTGTCGGGCATCAGCTGCAGCAACAGCATGAGCAGCAGCGCACCCGCCAAATCATCGACCAACAACAATCACAACGATGCTGACAGCGAGGAGTCGCCATCGCTCAAATCAGCTCATGTTCCAGTTAAACGTGACAATTCCGATTTGGTAGGTCAACAATATAAATTACTCGTTGTATTTTCGCTCTTAATTCGCTACAAACCGAATTGGTTTATTACGTTACTAACTTCCTCTCGCTGTAAATTATTTCGTTGTTATTAATTCGCTGTACTTTTACTTTTCGATTGATCGCGTAAAGTTATTCGCTATGATTACTCGTTGTTATTGACTCGCTGTGTTTCAAACTTTACCTACTTGTAAATTGTTCGCTATAAATTACTTGCTCAAAGTTGTTCGCTGCTCACAACTCGTTGTATTTGACTCGCTGTTTATCAAACTGTATATACTTTGATTGTTAATTGATTTTTTTTTTTTCAAATTATTCGCTCAAAGTTATTCGCTACTTATTACTTGCTGTGATCCACTCGCTGTTTATTGCTGGTATTAAGCGACTCGTTGTAAATGACTCGCTGAATACTCGCATGTTTGTAAATTGCTCGTTTATTCGCCACTAACTACTCGTTGGAATGGATTCGATGTATATCAAAAGCGGTTTACTTCTAAATGTCTGGCTTTTATTTACTCGTTCAAAGTTACTCGCTACTAATAACTCGTTAATGATTTGTTGTAAATTTCTCGCTTTAAAATACTCGCCTCAAAGTTACTCGCTACTAACTACTCGTAATTTACTCGCTATACATTGTTCTTTGTATGTCACTATTTAATTCTCTCTCGCTCTCGTTATCTTATTACAGAACACTGGCGAATTGCCGCCAGCCAAAAAAATAGCGCTCGCCGTCGGCGCCGAGTTCCTTGCTAAGTGAGAGCCGCGCCCCACAACTCGCCCAGTGGACTCAACTGGTCTGGTCACAGGCGATATACGATGCATGAATTATATCGCATAACTATATATATATATATACATATATATATATATATATATATATATATACAACCGATATGTGTATATCGTTAGCTGTATAGCCCAAAGGTTGTGGCGTGTGTTTACAATTTCATATGCGTAGCTCTGCTTAGCTCTACACCCAACGCTACTCTTAACTTTTATTTTAAACATCAGACCCGGAGACTTATCTGATGAACCACACACACACACACACACACACACACACACACACGCGTACATTTATAGATTGGTTAATTAGTGGATTATTATTATTATTATTATTATCATCATCGTATCTTGCACTTATACTATCTACCTTTCGCCGATTCAAAACGTTTTGTACCAATTTCTTTGTTTAAACATTTCGTGTCGTGGGGCGCATTTAAACATGATAAATGGATATATATATATGTATATATATATATATTGAAATAGTTGATAGATCATTTATTATAATAGAGCAGAGCACGATCACACGATATGATCGGGAACTAATTTTTCTATAACTAAGTTTACTTAATTTTCTTTTTTTTATTTCTTAATTTTATTTTGTATATATGTTTGTAATTTGTCGTGAGTCGTTTCGATGAATTTGGGGCCGATTTACCGATAGGTTTTCGATAGGTTTTTACTTTTTTTTTTTTTTTTTGTATAGCTGGAATGACTTAATTTAACACACACAAAGGACACACACACACACACACACACACAACCGCACACACACACACACACACACACACACACACACACACACCTATACACAGCCACACACAGCAGGACGACAACAAGAAAATAGACGGATGCGAATGCCAGCAGCAGTAGACAAAAAGTTACTACTACAATTTATGTATTTAATAATTATAATATTAATATTAATATTAATAACAAAAAAAAAGAGAAAACAACAAAAAAAAAAAAACAAAAAAAAAGCGTGAATATTGTATAATTATAAAGCGTAAACCTAAAAGTGTAAACCATCAAAACTTTTTTTTTTCGTGCTGTAATTTAGCATAGATACGTTTGGGTTACGCTTGTATACAACACACACACACACACACGAAACACACACACACACACCACACACACCACACATACACACACACAAATCATGGCAGGTGTTTTTTCTTATATATCGTAAATTCTTTTTTAAGCATTTTTAAGAGTTTTTAATTTGGATTCTTCTTTATTTCCCAAAAGAAATACACACACACACACACACACACATACGCACACGCACACTCACACGCACACGCACACCGCGCTAACAAAGTGTATACAAGAAGCGAAAAACCCGTTTAAGAACTTAAAAATAAAATCAAATATTAAAATAAATAACCGATGACTTTATAATGCGAAATTGGCGCTTATCTTTGATTCAACTGTACCACATTTACAGTTGGCTCGGCTCAGCGAGTTGCTTTACTCGTTACTCCACTGACGAGAGCCTAAGCGTATGCTACGAATATCTCTGGTGTACTTTTGTACTGTACTTTTCAATTTTTCAGCGAGTCGACAAACTTTTATGTACTTATAAGTTGGCTACTTTATAATTAAGTTTTAATATTCGAACTGACCCCGATTTGAGATAAAATGTGATGTGATGATTTTAATTTTTGTTGATGCCAATCGATAGATAGGATTTTGAAAGATCGTTGACTTTTGAATTTTGGTTTGAACCACATCGTCCTTGGAAATAAAAAAAAAACAGCAGGTTGTTTATTCAAATAAATAATTCTTTTATTAATGTTTAAATTTATAATTTTGTTGTTTTTTATGCTATCTTAATTATTTCTCTTAAAATTACACAAATCGATCATAAATTAGAATTTTAGCTTATTTCAACTTTAAATAACTATATCTATCTTAATTAAAGTCCGTTCCAGCAAAAAATCTGCTCTGTCATTCGTGAAGGTCCTTAAAGCTCATTGCAGTCCTTAATTTGTCAGTCTGAAAAGACAAAAACACATTTAAATTAAACAAGGCAAAAAATATAGAATATTATGTAAAGAAAAAAGGACATAACTCGGTCATGTCCTTGCAGATTTTCAAAGGACATGGTGCGTTAGGATCGTAAAGATCGTATGGGGTCCTCTAAGAATCCCAGGACTTGTATTTTGACTTGTAAAATTTCGGTCGCGGAGCGCACGGAAATGGGCTGAAAACACATTTCGTTGAATATCTCCTAAACTAAAAGGACGATCTTAATGAAATTTGACCAGGTGGTAGTCCTGGTTAATAAAAAAAAACATGACTCGCAAGGATACGCAAGGATATAGCTGAGTTATGGCCTATTTTAAATATACAAAATTGTCCTTAAAACTTTCTTGTCTAAAGGACTTTCGTCCTTTGAGTTGTACACTTTTTAATGGGAGGGTGAGAACTATGTGCTGGCCAAAGGACATCCCCATAGTCCTTCAAATGGCAAAATTAAGATTCTCTT